ACGTCATGCTCCTTGAGAGCTTCCTTCAGGCTGGCAGCCAGGAGGTCTGCGTGGGAGGCCACGCCTTTGACCTCCAATAGGACCGCGCCAGCCTGGGTCCTTCGCGTGCTCGCCACCTGGACCCCTAAGGACTGGAGGTCAACAGCCACCATGGCCGTCTTCATGACGGCCGCGTACTGTTGCCCCTCCTTGAGGGGCCCAATCACTACCACCTCTGTGCGGGGCACCTTGGCCTTAAGTTGGGCCGCAGAAGGACCCTTCCTTGCCGGTTTTGGAGGAGGGGGAGGCTTCGCCTTTAGGGCGGCAGGTATTTCGCCCCGGGACACCTGGCCCGGCTGCTTCTTCTTCGCCTTGCGCCCTACTACCTCGGTCCACAGCGGTGCCTTCTCTGGAGTGCTCACCGGGACCGTTGTAGGCTGCAGTCGCAGTACCAACCCCGTGGTTGGCTGCAGGAGCCTGCCTCAATACTCCTGCATTTAACGCGTATTCGATTGATCGAATCGACACCTGGTGGGTACGCCCCCCACCAACCGCCGGCACTGGGGCATCCGATACCCCTGATGCAGTAACCGTTAAATCCTTGTTTTTCATTATTCATATAAATAATTTTGTGAGGGGGCTGCCCTGCCTTGTGAGTGGCCAGTTCACTGGTTGCGTGGTCCATGGTGCTCCATTCTCACCCAAACGCTACCGCTTATTCGTCCATAAAGGCTTATTTCACGGCTACTCTGTATATCTACAGGGCTAACAAGCGTTTGGGCGGCTCGCTGTCCGCGACCACTTATTCGTCAGTCCAAGTTGATGAACTGCTTATTTCGCGGCTAACCTGCATATCTGCAGGCCGTTCCTCTATCCGCAACCTGAGGACGCGCCCGATTCCCCGAGCTAGGGAAACTGCGCTCGTGCCGACATTTCGTAGCCCCGTAGAGCTCGATCACACGGACACTGTAGCGCAGCGCAACGGGAGCCGCGCCGCCCGGTGCAGGAGGACCTAAGGCGCTGGTTTAGGCCGGCGCCTTAGGTATTCGTGTGTTTATGTTTACGTGTTTGTGAGTTATTTTATGCCCCCTTCGCAAAGTCCTGCCCCCACCGCCACGTGGTGCAACGTATCTCGACTTTTGGGATCCGGCTAACGGGGGAGGCCACACCACGTTGTGAATCAGCTCTTGATTAATTTCGGGCTGATTCACAACGTGGTGGTGTGAGTTTTAGAGACGGCGTGGGCCGCCCTGAGGTAATACCTAACGGTAGTTCCGGGGCGGCCCACATGTAGGCCGGTAGTGGAATAAAAAAAAAAAAGAAAGTTCAGAGTTCAGAGGATCTGGACCCCTAGACATCAATATTTTTACATTATTTAATAAGTAGGGTAAAAATCTGGTACATACTCGAAGTAAATTTTATTCTTTAGACTCCTTCCCAGAAAAATATTAAATAGGATGGTCGGCAGAGTAATGCTTAATTTTTAGCTTGGATGCAAAGCTAAAAAGGTATTAATTTTACTATGATGTGTTTTTTTTGTGTCTGTTGCCACTTTTTCTCAGCTCTCACCGAACCGATTTCTTTAAACGATACGTCAAAAGATCACAAATCGTATCCAGTCGGAGACATTACCCTCAAAAATTGAAAAAATTTCCCTTGTTCCCCGTAAATGGGAGAATAGATGGTAAAGAATAGATAAATGAAATAGGACAAATAAAGAAGAAATGCCAAAAGAATGGCAATTAGCAATAATATGTCCAATCTATAAAAAGGAAAATGCTTCAAGCTATCATAATTACCGAAGAATATCGATATTGAAATCCAAAAAAAATTACAAATTTAAAAAACGCTAATTTTCATAATTTTAGCTTCGATGTTTTTAATTGAAACTGCCATAACTTTTTAAAAATGATCAAATCAATATAATTTTTTTTTTATAGATGCATGATGTCTTTACATATCATTTGATATATTTTATAAATCTGACACTTTACTTGCCCACAGGGAGATTTAAAATTACAACATTTTCAACTTCACTTTTGAAAGTGTTCCAGAAATACTGACACTTTTATATATATCTTAAATTAAAGCTAATGTAATATACTTTATTATGGAAACAAAAAATATTGGACTTTATTTTGTCTTCAAGGTGAAAATGACTACCGTATGTTATTTTTGTGTTAAAATTTTCGATTTTATATTTTATTTTATTTTAAAATACCTTACAAAAGTTATTATGTTAGTAAAAAATTTTTAAATCATTTGATTTTAATTTCATTTAAATTAAATAATATTAATATTTATAAGTAATGACTACTTTATAATTTTTTATAAATTCTCCGAAAAAATTACAATACTAAATTATTAAATAGCAATTTCTACATTGAATTGCTTTAATTTATAATTTATATTTATTCATAATTTATACTTATAAATCAACAACTAATTAGGAATAATAATAGAAATAAGAGTTCATTTTGCTTTTAGAATAATCAATTAATTTCTTAAAATTAAACACTATCTACAGATTTGCATCAAGCGTTTTTTATGAGTGATTTTAATCACTATCAGATATCATCTATACTGGACCCAACTATACAACGTTCCCACTGTACCACGACCCTACTGTACTAAGTTTTTTTTTTACTTGTACTTTTTTTTTTAATTTGTAAGCTAAGAAAATGAGCAATAAAACAATTAATGTAAGCTATCATGGACTGAGAATTTATAAAATAAATATTTTTAATAAAAAAACACGGTAGCACGTAGTATGGATGTGGCACAGTTGGGACAAGTATAGATAATATCTGACAGTGATTAAAATCACTATCATACAAAACGCTTTGATGCAAATCTGTAGATAGTGTTTAATTTTTATAAATTGGTGAATTATACCAAAAGCAAAATTAACTCCTATTTTGTGTCCAACTTCAATGTGTCATTTGCACATAGAAGATAAGTCGTTGGGAAAAATTTTTAGCACGTAACATAAGCTTTAATATAACATATATTTAAAAAACGTAATATTTCCGGAACATTTTCAAAAGTTAAGTTGAAAAAGTTCTACTTTTTATACGTATGTATCAAGTATTGGAATGTCCCCTATATAAGGGGAAATTGTCCCACTTAAAAAAAAGTATGTTGAATGATTACTATTTATAAAGTATTTAGAAATAAAAATTTGTGTTAATCTATACATTTTTCAAAAAATTATAGCAATTTAAAGTTGAAAATATAAAATCTAAAATTTTAACACAAAAATAGTATGTTTTTAATTATGGCAGCCATTTGTACGTAAAAGATAAATTGTCGGCACAATTTTAGCTTCGATTTTTTAGTTAATTTAAAATACGTAACATAAACATTAAATTGAAAATTGTTTTTTGTGAAAAAGTTTCTATTTTGTACCCCTTCTTGTGAGTAGATAAAGGGTCACATTATCAATAAATTGATATCAAATGAAAGAGAAATACCTAAGATTTTTATTTAAAAGAAAATCATATAAAAGTCATATCAAATGAAAAATAATTTATAAAAGCTTTAAGAAAAAAATAAAATACTAATAAATAAAAATAAAAAAATAAAATAAAATAATAATAAATATATGTCAAAATTTATTGATTTTAAAAGTTGTAATTTTTTAAGGTATTCCCTCCATCTACAGGGAACAAGGGAATTTTTTTTAATTTTTAAGGCAATGTCTTCAACTAGATACGATTTTGACGTTGAAAGAAATCGGATCGGTAAGAGCTGAGAAAAGAGGTGGCAGACATAAAAAAAAAAAAATCATATCAATTTTAGCTTTGCATTGAAACTAACCATTTTTCATATAAATGCTAAACTCTTTTCATGTTTAATTTAAACACTTAAAATTATTTTTATATTGTAAATAGTACTAAGTCATAAGCTAATCAAAAATCATTTATATTTTGATTAAAAAATTATAAGTAATAATTAGATGATAAATATGTTCAAAATAAACATTATCTATTCATAAATTATTTAAATTCGCTTTTAAATGCAACTTAATAATAAAAAATAAGTTAATTTTTAGTTGTTTTATTATAAAGTAAAAAATTATTTCATTATCTAAACTTTAATATACTCTAAAACATATTGAAATAAGATTGAATAAGGCTATCAATAAGAAGTGAAGATTTTTTTAAAGATAATAAATAATTGTTAATAGTAATTATTACTATCACGACAAAATTTGATTAGACAACTAACATTGTACAAAAAAATTAATATACAAAGAATATCTTTTATAGATATATTTTCTACAATACTAGACATAAGACTTTTGTTTTATTTTTGAAACTTGTGAGATAGTGTTTTTTTTTACAACTATTATGCCTTAATTAATAAAATATTTATTAATTTTGAGTCATTTTATCTATACAATTCCATAATAAAATAAAATTTTGTAAAAAAAAATCTTTGGATACTCATAATAAACTGTCTGAAGTAATTTAAATGACATTAATATAGTTAATAGCTAAATTCTAAGGTTTATTCAAAGGACAACTAAGGTTTAGAGAAATGAAACTTTTTAATGATTAGACAAAATTATTATACATAACATTGAAATCAATTTAGTTAGTGCTTAAAAACAAATTAATTAATTATGATGAACCTAATCAGTAGCAGTTAGATGTATCTCTCTAATCCCCTCTAAATTGATTGCTACTGAACCTAGTTATTTATAAACATGTATTTTTTATTAATCTAAATACTATGGCAGCTACCATAAGCTTAAAATATGACTAGTAATTACAAATTACTAGTTTTCATTTATAATTACAACAATTTATTCACATACAAATTAAGTTGAATAATTTGGATTTTCTAATGATAAAAAGATTTTATCATTAAACTATATAAATAAAGAAAATATTTTGGGTATTTAGTTAAAAATTATCATAAAGTTAAAAAAAAAATTGATTTAAAGTAAATAAAAAAAAATATATATTTTATTTAAAATCCAATAAGTAATTCATTAATATTTAATCTAAACTTACCACTGTCTGAGTAACGAAAGTTTTCTAGAAATCTTAAACATTCTTCTAAACCTCCAAAAATTGTGAATTCTCCTTGGAATGGATTATGACGAAAAAATAAATCAAACACAGCAGTATCAGTTGTCTTTTCTGATTTCCAGTATGCATAAGCCATAGTTATTTGATATAAATCTACAATAAATACAATTATTTACAAAAGTAACTATTACAAATATTTATCTTTAAATTTGTAAATTAAAGAGACCATGAAAAATTTTAAATTGAGTTTTATTTAAAAAAAATGGATATCAACAATAAATGATACATAAAAAAAATTAAAATAATAATCATACCAGTCAATAAAGGCTGCACAACCGAATTGTGAACCTGAAGTCCTTGATATACATTATCCTTTCCGATATTCATTGTAATACTTGACTTATATATTATTAATACGTTTATTTTGTAATACTTTTTTTTCTTTTTAAATCAAAATATGTTTATTCAAAAATTCTAAAAATATAGACTTCATTTAAATTTTTTATTAAATATAAAATTGTTAATGTTACCTCTACATATAGAAGCCTCTGCATTATTAAAAATATGTACATTAATAATTTAATTTAAATGAGATGTCTATATTTATTTACTAACAATTAAAAATTTTAAAGTTAAAGTTAAGGGGATGTTGTGTTTACTAAAAATGTAAACATTGACTGTCATATAACACCATTACTACTGCGCACCGCGAAGAGATTGTAGGAGTCTCAATAACTCCTTGAGTAAACTAACTGCAGTGTTGAAGGAACAATTCTGAATGACCAATAAAACATTGTTCATTCTACATTTTACGTTTTTTTTACTACGAAATAAGTCAGGTACGCTAGTGTTACTTATCAGTTATTTTAATGTGTGATAAAAATTAATATACTCATAAATCATTAGCAAATGTTGAAGCGCTATCTGTAATAACGGAAAATGTACAAATGATAAAAAAACATTAAAGGTCAAAAATAGTAGAAATTAAAATTTTATCCATCTTATTAATCAATTGAAAATATTTTACTCTCAATGGCTAACTAAAGATAATTTAACTTTTACGTTTATTGGCTAATTATTTACTTAAATAATTTATAGTGTACTTGTAACTTCTGATTAGTTAATAAAATCAAATTTAAAATAATGAGAATTTTTGACTTTTTCTATCAAAGCCACTTATGATATAAGCTACATGGATCTTTTTAGGAATAAATTATAATTATATTTTTTGTATAGTACAAGGAAATCTCTAGATAGTTAAAATTAAAGAAAATAAAGGCAGTTTTTTTTTAAACAATTAAAGAGGCCAAAAAATCTTTTGTAAAGTTTACATGAAATATCTAGTTAAAAGTTAAAATAAGTACTAGCCTTTAAAGATTATAAAAGAAATTAAATAAGCATTCAGTTCCTTTTAATATTTTATTGGTATACACCTTACATCTATAATTAAACCTCAAATTTGTGCACATTTATGCTATAAAAGAATTTGAAAACCTTTTTAGGTATGCTTCCATCAAGCAAATAGGATAAAATACATAAAATGTTTTTAAAAATTGTATCATTGGCTTTAACAGTTTTCCATGTTGGTATTAAGTATTGCAAAGCTCAATGTAAAAACTTTTTGCAGGTCCTTTTTATATTTTTTATGTGAAAGTCATTTTTTTTTTTTTTTAATTTTTATTTACTTTTAATAGTGGGACTAAAGTGAGTGTTTTGGCTTTGCTAATTCCTCTGCCCTGACCAGACCCATGGCAATTTTAAACATGGCAATGTTTAAAAAAAAATAGTAATAATGTTTGTGCTTGTTATAGGTAAACATTTTATAAGAAAACATAACTTAATTTTTTGTAGATGACACAAATTGACCTATATACAGGGTGTTCAGTAAGTCAGGAAACGGGTTTCTATTGTTCTCATTGTTACAAACAATGAGAACAATAGAACCCCGTTTCCTGACTTACTGAACACTCTGTATAACACACATACTGGCCTATTGAATATAGACATACATAATCTTTACCTACGTACTGACCTTCTTTTATATAAACCTAATTTAGCCAGGAATATGTGGAACTCTAATGAATACTGGTGTTTAAATTAAAACTTGCATTTTCCCTTTTCTCTAAAACAATTTATAAAAAAGGATGTTAAAAAGAAATTTTAAACAAAACATACCCAGATTATCTCTATACAATATTTAAATTTGAAACAAATAAATTAACTTAAATAAATAGTTTAATTAATTAATTAAAAATTAAATCCTTCATTTTAAAAGGCCTTAGTATTATAACAAAAGTTTTATTGGATTAATAAAATCTTAATTTATTATTTTAATTTATCAAAGGTAATAATATAAGGTAAACCTTATATTAAATTATTTATTAATCATATTAATTCTAGTAACAACACCAGCAGCTATAGTAGTACCAGCAGATCTGAACATTACACGACCTAATTGTCTGATATCTGAAAAAACTTCTACACAAATTGGTCGTGAGACTTCAATTTTGATAAGAGCATGTGTATTTTTTTTAATCATTCGAGGATTCTTCCGAATAATTTCTCCAGTGGTTTTATTTATCTCAGCAAGCAATCTACTAATAATTGCTGATTCTGATGAACTTTGATAATGTAGAACCACTTGATGACCTCGGACAATAGGAAATTCTACATTGAACACAACAACTCGTGCTTCAAATATCATTGTAACTGGAACAGGTTGTGTTAAATCACAGAGTACACAACCAGAATAAATAGTTTGAGCATCATAACCAGTTATTGAAACACTAATATAATCACCAGCTAATGCTAACATCTGAGGTAATTCATCAATTTCAATACCTTTAACAAGAAAAAAAAACATATTTTATGTAATAATAAAAAATATAATTTTGTAGTTATATACTAGTGTTACAACTTAGTCAAAATTTGAATGGTAAGACTTTTTTGGTAGTTATTAATATAAAAATGTTTTTAATTGTTTATATAAAATAAATCTGATTCAACTCTTATATCTTAGCACCTAAATTTTAAGTTCAAGATTGTTATAAATATATTTTAACATATAAGTAGTCAATATTAAATAATTATTTGATAGTTACTAACTTTTGATTTGCGCCACTTCACCTTGTGGTTGAACTAGCACTTTATCTCCTACTCTTAATTGCCCTGTTTCAATTCGACCAACAATTGAAAACCCTGAACCTGAACTTTTAAAAACATCACTTACACATAATCTTAATGGTTTATAAATTGCACGCTCTGGTGGTTTGAAATTATCTACAATATTGGATTATTTTGTAACTATGATTTAAAAAATAATTAAATACTTGAATCATACCAATAACATCCATCATACATGGTCCATTATACCAAGAGGTAAGTAATGATTCACTGGCTTTTGTAGCAAGATTCTCTCCACATAATCCTGAACAGGGTACAAAGGTAACATCTGTATCCTTATAACCTGCTTGTTTCAAAAAATGACCAAGTTTCAATTTGATTTCTTCAAATCGACTTTCTGACCAATCAACCATATCCATTTTGTTTACAGCAACCCCAATTTGAGTAATACCTAATCATGATAATTAAACTATTTTTTCACATTAAATTATTCTTTATTGATAAAACTACCTAAAGATCTAATAAGAAGTGCATGCTCCCTAGTTTGTCCACCACTATCAAATCCTGTTTCAAATTCTCCTTTAGTAGAATCTACTACTAAAATAGTTGCATCAGCTTGTGAAGCACCTTTCAAATATAATTTAATAACAAAAATAATAAAATTAAGAAGATTCTAAATTTTCAATAAAAAAAAATTATAATAAGACTGATAATAATTTAATAGTAATTATAAAAATAATATTTTGTATGTTTAATATTCTTAAAATAATTTTACCTGTAATCATATTGGGTATAAAATCTTTATGTCCTGGAGCATCTAATAAAGTAACATCTTTAGTTTTAGTTTCAAATTTCAAATGACTAACATCCATTGTTATTCCTCGATTTCTATTTTGTAATAAATATAATTAAAAATTATAGAATATATTAAAATTTATTTGAAAAATTTAACTCGCAGAATTTACCTTTCTTCTACAGTTTCATCTAATATCCAAGCATAAACAAAACTTTGTTTGCCTAATTTCTTACTTTCATGTTCATACTTTTGAATAGTACGTTGTTGTACAAGGCCTAGTTTATACAATAGATGACCCATCAAAGTACTTTTACCAGCATCAACATGACCAATAATTATTAAATAAAGTTGATCTTTATGTTGTATTACAGGTGAAAGACTTCTATTACGATCTTTGTTTGTTCTATTACAAAAAAATAAATAAATTTTACAAAAACGGTAAATTTTTATTATGAATTACTTGGGAGAATGTAATTTGCGATCAATTTTAGGAGAACCTATTCGTACATTTTGAGGGGATCGATTGCGTGGAGTAACAGTTGGTGAACATATTGGAGTGCTAAATGGTGTTTGTTTAGGTGTTGCAGAAATATTCTTATTTTTTGATCCTAAAACAGTTATAAATGTTGATTAGTGTTAATATAACAAAAATAATAAGTAAATTAGTATTAACTTTTTTTTTTTTACTATTAGAATTTAAAGATTATTAGTTAAATATTTACCAGATATAGATACATTTCCAAATCCAACAGTAATATTATCTTTATTTTTTGCTGAAGAAGCAACAATAACTGTAGGAGGTCTACTGTTTCTACTAGTATTTCCAAAATCAGTAGTTTTTGTAGAATCTAATAACGATAAAATTAAAATAGATATTATAATTTGCATACATCTAAATGATACAAAAATTATTTTTTCATATAAAATTTGTTTAGAAATATTTTTATATTTAATTAGATTAGCATATAAGAAAAAAAAAACTACTACTATACTATTTAAGATATATTAAAGATTCAGTTCATGATAATATATTATGTATTTACCAATATTTGCATTTAAAATTTGATCTACAGCTTTTTCTATGTTAAAATTACTACTTATTAAATGCTCTTCAACAACATCTTTAGCTAGTTCAATTCCCAGTATTTCGCGAATCTTACTTAAACATGAATTCACCTTTGAATCTAAAATTTCTTGTTTGGAATCAAATTTTGGTTTGTGGTTAATTAAATAGATAGCTGAAATATTACAGTAGTTATCTTTTAAACAATATACATCATTATTTTGTTTTTAAAAAACCTCTTAATTACAAAAAAATGTTGAAGCATTTTAATTTTAAAAAATAAATGTAGTTTAAATTTGTAATTTTTTCAAATAAGAGATTTTTTTTTTCTTAAAGTAAAATTTATAAAGAGTAAAACGAACCATCACTTGGGGAAATACAATCATCTTCAAATGAATGTGAGTAATCATTATCATCATCATAATATTCATCTAAAAATGAATACTTTTATAATAAATTTTATTACACTTAGGTTTAATAAGATCATTTTTAAAAACACAATAATTAATACAACTTTTAACAATTGTAAAATTGTATAGTGTTTATAAGAATAAAAATTTTATTTTTCTCTTTAGTCCCCAAAAAATTATTTAGTAATATTCCTATTTTTTAAACCCCTTAGATTGGTTAATGACTACCATTATCTTAAGATTAGACTGGTGTATCCTGAGGAAATTTTAAGTAGAGTGATTTTCCACTTGCTTTCTTTACTAGGAGACAGTGTTTACACTGTTGAAATTGTGGAAACAATTGAAATGATGTTTGGTAACCCATTCAACTACTAACAGTACCAAGTGAAGCTTAACTTCGAACTTGACAGTATCTGAAGTGTCTACTGCTCCACACCACGCCATTTAAAATTAGTAAATATGTAATATTTTTACTAAAGTAAAGTTTTAAAAATTATTTCCTTTAAAAATGACTAACTTAGACATAGAAATATACAATAATTAAAAAAATATTTATTATTTTACCATCAGAATATTGAGTTTCTTTTCTCACATTTCTATGGCGAGCCATATTATAGATGCATAAAGTAAAACTTTAAAAAAAAATTATTTTACTGTTACCGTACTATAATTGCCATTTGACACCAAAGCACAACATTTCCGAGAATATAAATTTATCCTTGAAACTCAATTCACTGTTAAAAAATATTTACCTACAATTTTTGATAATATAGATAAACACCTGTTTTGTTAACTATTAAAAATTGATAAATACATACACATCTATATTACAGTTTCAATTTATTTGTTACTTTATCACTAATAAGCCGTAGTAATTTATTATGTAAATTTAGATTATTATACAAAATTATGTGAAATCAGTTGTATCTCTCATTAATTATTTATTGAAAAAACTGGTATATGAATTTAAATGAAGGTTCTACATATAATATCTGCAATTTAAAAAAAAAATTTTTATTGGAATAAATATGGATGACTTAAATGATACTCGTAGTACCAATAGAACATCACAAAGCTTTAAAGTTGTTTTACTTGGTGAAGGATGTGTTGGGAAAACTTCGTTAGTTCTAAGATATACTGAAGATAAATTTAGTAATAATCATATCAGCACTTTACAAGTAAACATGTTAAATAATAAAAATATTTTAAAAAGAAGTAATTGATATTAAAATAAGTGAAACTCATTTAAACCAATTGTATATTTAGGCTTCATTTGTAAAAAAAAAACTTAATATTAATGGACGACGAGTAAATTTAGCAATATGGGATACTGCAGGACAAGAACGATTTCATGCTTTAGGACCAATATATTATCGAATGTCTAATGGTGCCATACTAGTCTATGATATAACTGATGAAGATTCATTCCAAAAAGTAAGACATTTTTTTGAATTGTTCAATTTTCACATTTTTATGATTTCAAAAACATAATTCTTATAAAACTGAGTCTTACTTAGGTAAAAAAATTAATTTTTGATAAGATAAAATTGTATAATTAAGATGAAGCTGAGATGACGTTCTCTATCATAATTCAATTAGTTAATTTAAATTTTTTTGATGTAGAAAATACTCAATATCTATATTTCAACTAAAGAAAAGCTTAGCCTCCTAAAAAATTAGAAAATTATATACTTAATGTTTTATAAAAATATTTTTTAAGGTTAAGAAATAATGTAATAAGCCCCTAAAACTTATTATTATATTTGCGCTAATGCTAAAGATTCATATATTTAAGATGTATTCTTTCATTTGTGCATTTATATAGAGATAAAATTTTATATTAAAATAAATATTAATTACTTAATTAAAAATCAATTTTTAAAATGAAATTAATAAAATTTCAATTAAATATTCAGGTGAAAAACTGGGTTAAAGAATTAAAAAAAATGTTGGGTAATGAAATATGTCTTGTAATTGCTGGAAATAAAACAGACTTAGAAAAAGATCGCACTGTGTCAATTGAAGATGCAGAAAAGTATTATATAAATGTTTCTATTATTTATTTAATTAAATACTAATAATAAATTTTCACTTTAGTTATTCCCGTTTAGTTGGTGCTATTCATTGTCATACATCAGCTAAAATGAATTTAGGTATTGAAGATTTATTCCTTAATCTTTGTCATATAATGATAGAAAAATCAGATAAACAGACTGCTGAAGATGTAGTTTCATTAAACCGTTCAGGAAATACAAGAAGAACAGTAATAGTCGATGATGAAGATGTCACATTAGTTGAAGGATCATCACGATGGTGTTGCACTAGTGGATGATAAGTTGAAATTATACTATTTACTTACTTTACCATATTTAACTCCTTTAGAAATTGAATAAATCTAATTTGTGATATATTTATGATATAATGTTTAGAAAATATATATTTATTTAAGAAATGTATAATTTGTACTACTTATTTGTAAAATCTTGATCAACTAGGCATTAGATTTAAATGAAAATTTTCATAAATGTTACCTTTATTATTATTGAACTCTTAACTTAAAAGGGTTAATTTACGGTTACCTATGAAATATAAAATAATTTTTTTAAGAGTATTAATAAATACTTGTACAATTTTAAACCTGTCTTTTCTTCACTATTATTATTTTATTTAATATATTCATGTTATACTATATAAAATTATTTTATTGAGACATGTTTGTGCAAACTAACTGATGTTCAGACTAATTTCTGATAATTATTGGAGAAAATGTAGGGCCTAATACTTAAAAATTACCCCTATTTGAGTGTAACATTAGAAGACTAGAAGAAAGGTACACAACTCAACATTTAAAGAAGAAAAAAGTTACGGAGAGTATTGAATATAATTTAGTATTGAGTTATAATATAATTTCCCGCTCAATATATGTTCTTATTAAATCTCAGCATGAACAAAAAATAACAATTCAATTTAGCCCAATACAAAAATCTGAAATTAATTATAATTAAACCCAACGAATCCAATCCGACTTCAGAATTGGATTAGATTCGCTCCACCAAAACAACTCTCCCATTTTTATATCTCAATGAGAAAAATTGTCTACATTTTTGCAAAAATAGAAAAATTTACTTTAAAGTTGCAATGAGCTCATTGAATTGTAATTTACATACATTTTATATTTTAAAATTAACAACACATTTTTGAAGTTAAAAATAAATCTTTAAATTCCAACTTTGTAATTGACCATAGATTATAATATGTATACATAAATTTTAGTGTGCTTCATAAAAATGTCTAGTAGCATCCTCACGCATTGACAGCACATGCCTATTAGTTGAGATTATTAGCTATGTTAATAACTATTGAAACCATTTAATTTAATAATATCAATGAGGAGGTCTTTTCATTGCACTAGATTTATTGTTTATATTTTGTACATACTTAGAAAAAATCTGTAGTTTCATGTAACAACCCTCAGCTTATTCTAATAGAGAACATGTTGTTAGGCAGTCCTATTTTTAATTACTATTTAAAAAAAACTATAAAAGTTGTTCAATCCCATGGCTACACGAGGACCATGGCGAATTGGGTTCTCCTCAAATTTATCCTGGCCCAGGTCCAGTCCATTCTAATACAAATAATAGTTTTTTTTTTAATATCATAAAGCTTATAGGTATTATTCACAATGAATAGTATTCAGTAAAATTAAACAGAATACATTAAATATTAAAAAAAATTTTAAATATGGAATACCACAATCCAAGATTAGTGTGATGAAGAATCCATCAAGTCTTTCATTAGTTTAATTAATGTAAAATCATTTTAATTAAAATTATTGATCCCTCTAATAAAAATTTTCTGGCTATATGTGTAAGATTGTCCTAGTAATATATTGACTGTTATTAATCAAAATCATTGTTCATAAAAATAAAGTATGGTTTCCCTCATGTACAAAGTCAATTGCTATTTCTCTATTGAGTATAAATAGTAACTGAAATAAAATAGAATAAAAATAAAAATATAAGAAATAAAATTAGACATGCCTATGTTTAATTCTAATTCTTTGAACTGTTCAATATTTTAATACAAACTCATAAAGGGATATAAATTATGTTCTATCTCATTTCAATAAAATTCTGATTTAAAAGGGTTTATACAAATTCATCATTTAATATTTTAACAGAAATATTAATTTAACTAGATATAATGTTAATACAGAACGTTTTAACATAACTAAACAAATGATACAGAACTCAAGTTTTTCTTTTTAATAGTCATTTTTTTTTTATAGTTTACCAAATAGATATCCACATTAAAACAGGACAACAAAATGAATTAATTAAAAACTATAAAATAACATACACTAGACAATATTATACAGACATACAAAAATATTATTAAAATTTGTTTTATATATAATTTAATTTAAAAATAATCTAGTATAATATAAATTTGGTTTAATAGTTAAAAATCACTATTTAATGGTTTATTTAAATAATGGTCAAATAGAAAATATGATGCATCTGTTGTACAATAAATAAAAAATTAAATTTTACATACATATATTTATGATACAAAAAATTATTTCTCGTCAAAATTAATTAATACTGAGTACTATATGAAAAAAACAGTTATTTATAGTATTTAATTAAAATATAACCTAAAGTTATCACTATTTAGAGAGTTTACTTATTACTCGAATCAGAGCACCATTCTCATCTTTTAACCTTTGATTTTCTTGTCGTAATTGTTCTATTTGCTAAAAAAAAAAATTGTACAATAATAATTAATAAAACACAATTAAAAAAATGTATATTAATACTATAAAAAATGTTAAGTCTACACAAATTATTAAACAATATTAAAATAATGATTAATTTTGCATTCAGTTAGAATAATATTAAACTAATATTTTATAACTGTAACGTAAACCATAATTGTAATACATAATAATAATAATCTGAATTAGTGTCATGTAAAATCTTTCTTCATATAGTATTGTGATCATACTATCTTAATTGAGTAAATGAAAATATGTTTTTCATTAAAGGTAATTTACCACAATCCTTACTGAAACCCTATTTTCATAAACTAATATTGAAAAATAAAATCTTCTTCTTCTTCTTCCTCGCCTTAATCCCAACTACTTAAGATTGGCCACCCTTATCCTAAACTTCCACTTGACACAATCTCCCATATCATCTACACTCACATCAGCTATCCTCATATTGTATTCAATAGCATCTCTCCATTTTTTGATCTTCCTCTACCTCTTCTTCCTTCAACATTCATTTCTATAACTGATCTTACAGCTTCCGATTCTTCTCTCCTCATAACATGACCAAACCACCAAAGTCTATTTTCTCTCATCTTATCCACGATTGACGCTACACCTATATTCCCTCTTATATGCTCATTCCTTATCTTATCTTCTCTAGTCACTCCACTCATCCATCTAAGCATTCTCATCTCTGCTACACTCATTCTCTGCTCTACTTTCTTATAAACCGCCCAACACTCTGAACCATACATCATAGCTGGCCTCACTACAGTCTTGTAGAATTTACCTTTCAACCTCATTGGAATTCTTTTATCGTATAAGATACCAGACGCTTCTCTCCACTTCAACCACCTGCACTTAATTCTGTGTCTTACATCCCCATCAATACCACCGCTCTTTTGTACAACTGAACCTTTTTTTTTTTCACACCCGGCATTAATGTGGACCGCCCTGGAATTACTGTTAGATATTACTTCAGGGAGATACGCAGGGGCCATGCTAATCTTCTCTGTATCATTCCAATTTTAGTATATGTACTGCCGAAGCAAGTACAGAATCGAACCTCGGTCTCCCGCATGACAGGCGGGGATACTTACCACTATACTACTGAGGATGTACAACTGACCCTAAATAATTTAAACTTTCCACCTCTCCAATCACGTCTTTGCTTATTGGTACTGATCTCCTCATTTCACCTATCTCGTGTTCTCCTATGTCGAACTCGTACTCTATATACTCTGTCTTACTTCTACTTATTCTTAAACCTTTTTCTCTAAGAGCTGATCTCTACACCTCTAGCCTTTGAATAATTTTCTCCTATTAACACTATATCGTCAGCAAACAATATGCACCACGGCACCTCTCTTTGTATTTCTCTAGTAATTTCATCCATCACTAAAGAAAATAAATAAGGGCTTAAAGCAGAACCTTGATGCATTCCTAATCTTACCCGAAAACCTTATGTTACTCTTCCCACACTTTTTACCCTGGTACAAGTGCCATCATACATATCCACTATTATATTAATGTACTTTTTCGGAACTATTTTTCTCATTAATGCCCACTTAAAAACCTCTCTCGGTACTCTATCATACGCTTTCTCTAAATCTATAAATACCATTAATATTACCAATAATATTGGAAAACAAAATAATATTTAAAATTGTATTATTATCTTGGCTTCTAATAACCTATTAAAATCAATTTTTTTCTTAATTCTATCCATAAATTCTACAGAAACAAATGATTTTTTCGAAATGTTCCATTACATGAATTAAAAAATCTTTTTTTAAATAAATAATATGAAATTAAATATTCATTTGATATTAAATATTGCATCCAATAATACTAGTTAACAACTACTGTAATTTAAAAACGTGGAAATATTAGTGTTATCTTAATCTTAATATATTCAATTTAGATATTATACTACATTTTTAATTTTGTTAGATACAACACATATTTCTATAATTTTATACTATTGACATATTTAATTAAATGATGATGAAAAAATAGAAAAATTATATTCAATAGATTATAAAAAATAAAGAAATTTTTTTTCGAAAATAAATCTTCAGGAATAGAATATATTATGATTTAATAAAAACTATAATATCAAAATTCTGACTCAACCTTTTGACTGAAAGCTTATAAATATTTAGTTATTTTACTTTTACATATTAATTAATTAAAAATTAGTTGAATGAATAAAACTAAACTATGGCAAAATTAAGAAACACAACAGAAATGAAACAAACATTACACTTTTAACACTACATACATATAAAATGAAGAATTCACATAATCATGTATGAGTAAGTTTAGAAACTACTCTTGTAAGAGCTCTGTTTTCAGTTCGAAGTCTTTCATTTTCTGCTTTCAATTTTTGTAATTGCTAAAGAAAATAAACTTATATTTAAGCACTACAAATTCTTATTAGACTTAAGTATAAAAATAATAGTTGAAAATGTCTATAATCAAAATTTTTATCACAAACAAAATTAAAACATAGCATAATTACCTTAAGTTCTTCTTCCATTTCAGATAGTTTTCTTTCCATAGCCCGCCTTTCTCGTTTTTCAATCTCAGATAAAGTATTTTTACTTGTCTATAAGTGTAATTTAATATTTATACATATAAATTTATCACAATAATCTTAATATAAAACTACTAACATTGGTTGATTGTTTTTCTATAGTTATTTTGGCTTCTAATAGATCTTCTTCAGTCTTTTGTAACTGTCTACGTAACCTTTCATTGTCTACTACTACTTCTTCATATAGCTTTAAACACATTTTATGAAATTAAAATACAAATAAATAATATTACTATATTTAATATCTCACAGCTTTGTAATCTATTTCTCCATTTTCAATACAAGAAACAGGAGATGTTGCAGAACTACCTAATTTATTATCTTGAGATGATACTGATCCAAGTCTTGATGTATGACTTATCTTATTATCACCACCACTCTATAAATATATTTTTTATAAAAATTTATGAAATCTAATAATAACTTAACAATAATAATAAGATAATAATTCTCAATATATTAATTGTACATTACACCTTACCACATATCCTTCAGAACCATAACTTTTATTAGAAGCTAATGAGGTTGAAGAATCAAACCTAGAAAGGGGTTTTTGGTAATTTCTTTTTAACGAATTGGCTAAACTATGAGGTTGTCTAGATGGAGAAGAAGAAATAGCACGACCAGAATATCCTCCAGAATAGCTAGAAGATGGAGTTATAGTTAAACTGCCATAACCAGAAGCTGTTCCTCCATAAGAAGATGGTGAATATGAAGGAATACTTGAATTGTATGATGATGAATTTAAATAAGGTGCTGAAAGACCTAAGGATGAGTACATTGGCCCTGCTCGTGAAGGAGAACTATAAAGACTTCTAGGTCTTGCATATGATGACGATGGGCGAGATTTTCGAATATTAGAACTATAAGAACTCATAATACACACTATTGAACACACTAGCAGTACATAAACAACTGTTTAAAACTTGGAAAGAACAGTGACTTGTTGCATGGACAGAAGATGGCCCTGATCTATTTTTGGTACATTAGATTGTTCCAATTAGAAAATGTGCCTTTCATACTGTTTTATAAATTTATAAAAACAAATATGAATTTCAGATTTACCATCAAGTTATTAAAAACAATTTATCTTAAAAAATTTAGTAAAAGCTATATTGTTTTAAACATATTGAACACTATTTAAAATTAAAGATGCCAACTTCCAGCTATAAATACATTTTTACAAAGAAAAACTAATGCCAAAAATATAACTGCATATATGCAATAAAAATGGTGTTATTTGACATAAGACTTATGATAGCTATTTTAAATAAATTATTGGAAGAAAACTAAAAAGTTTGCCAAAAATATCAAACAACGATCAAGCTTTTCTTCATAAAATCAAAACAATAATGGGAATTTTGCCAACTTTGTTTTCACTTAATAAAAATTGTATTTTTGTGTAGAACAACTTAAAATTACACAGTTTCAAGAAATGTAGACTACTACTTCTAAGATAAAAATGTATATAAAAATATATATAACATTTATAAACTAAAAATGTTACGACTTACTACTTCACCAATACTTTCATCAGTTCCACCACATGATGAAGTATCTTGTCTATCAGGGTCAATTTCATCTAAATCAACATGAACTACTCCAGTAGATCTTCTTTTTGGTCTTTTTCTTCTTTGAATAACTGCTTGTGTAGTTTGATGATTTCTACAGTCATTTTCTTTATCTTGTTCTAAATTAGATTTCATTATTTAAATATTTACATTTTGAAACATAATAGAGCTAAAAGTTTTACTAATGCAAATTTTTAAATAATATTCAGTAACTTCACACTATTATTGTAAATTATTTCTTAGGGAGAAGATAAGATATCAAAAAATAAAAATATTTTGTTTTCATTATATTTACCATTATCTTCTTCTGATTTAAATGATGAACTCCTTAATGGCAGTGTTACTGTTGTATCTGTACTTGCTTCAACTGTTGAGGGAATGTGAGCTGACTGGTTTGACATTTTTGAAGTTGGTTCATTAGATCTAACATCTTCAAGTAAAAACTATAAAATAAAAACTTGTAATACTATATTGTAAAGGTTAAAATAACATTAATTAATATGAGATAAAAACAAACTAAATTAAACTACACAATGGATTAAATACAAATCACTCAAAAAATATTTTAGTGTTGTCAACACATTCATCAACCACAAACCTTACTGCCATTTTCGACCCTTAGTCTCCAAGAAGGCCTTCTTTCCACACTGTTATCTGATATATTAGATGAAATATTTCTGGCCAATGGGGTAATTGTAGCTGTTACTGTTATATGCTCTTCTGTTTTAGCCTAATAAATATTAAACTAATAATTCATATTCAAAAACAATTATTTTGCACACTCCACAAATCATACAATACTTAGAATCTTGATCTAAAATAACGTTTCAGAAAAGGTTCTATTTAGAACTCACACAAAAAGGGTTGAAAAATAACTTATTACTAGTTATCAGAAGTATATAAGCATTAACCCATATAAAAATACACAATCTTAATTATTTCTTTTTAAATCATTAAAACATTTGTATTTTACATAAAAAAAATATAAAGTATATTTATAAATAATTCTAAAATATTAAACCTAATGATAGATGTTTAAGTGATGGATTACAACCTAACAAATTAAAAGTCTCAAATCAAAACATGGCAATTTATATTTTTGAGGTTGATAAAGAAAATAATTTTTAAAAATTTTAAATCAAATCAAATCATAATTAATTTGTCTAAAATTAATTGTGTAAACAAATCAGTCAATAAAACCACAAAATGTATAATTAACTATAAACAATATCTTTGAGTTATCAACATGGTGATTCTTTTAACACTAGCTACTCAATTTTTCCTCAAATAATAATTTTTGGTTTTGTTAGTTACATATTTGTTTCCGTTTATCTTTCATAAAATATTTTTTTATGTTCATGCATTATATTCTATAGGAAGATCACTTTATTTTTTTAAATGGTAACATACATATTTAACTAACTTATAAAATATAAAATTATGCGATTAAGAAAATTACTGATCGATAACAATATTTGGACCAGCATTTCAGTATTTTTTTATATTTTTATACCTAGATTGGAGGAAGAGTGCAACCGATAAATGTCTAGTAATAGAAATAGCAGCACCTGCACCTTACCTTTAGTCAATACTTTAAATTGTTAATAACTTCTGAAATATTGATTCAGAAGTTCATTGTCTTAATTTTAGTTTCAATTGTTAAAGTAGGCCAGAATTGCCCAAGCACTAAGACTTGTAGATCTATTCTGTGCATCTCCTACTGAATTATATTAAGTCAATTTCTTAAATAAGTGTTTCCACTGAAGTTTTTTTGCCATTCTTTGAACACCTAAAACTATATATATATAAAGGCGGAACTCAAAAACCGAATGTCTTTTTTTTTTTAAGAAGACTACAACAATATATTAACTACAAATGAACAGCAGAGAGATCTCAAATAGATATAATTTAGTAATTATAAAAGTATTAATCAAAAAGCATAACTTTTAACAAAAAATATATTATATTTCCTAATCTAAAAATGTAATAATACAATAAATTTAGTTAGGTTTGTAATTAATAATTTATTAACTGGCCATAAAATAATAAATCAAGTACAATTATCGTACTTGGCAAAAAATTTAACTTTTAATTTTTTTTTTTTTTGTAAGAATAATGAAATTATTTGAATTAATGAAGATAAATAAGTAAAAATAAACAAAATCAGTTATGATGCATTTTTAAGACTTTTATGTTTTTTTACTGTATGTAGTGTTTTTGTGAGCTATTTATTAAGAAAACAACATTGAAGTTATTATTTTTGAATTTCTTATAAAATTTCCCTTACTTGAGTTTTACTTTCATAATTCTAAGTTAAGCAAAAAGAAAGTTATAAGACATAGATCAGTTATTTCTATTAAATTTGTCTCTTCAATTCAACTTAATAGATCCAGTATCTTAACAGATCAGTCCCAAATTTTGCACAGCTCATTATTTTGAGCATTAAAAAAAAATAAGGAGTAGCATAAAAAATGACATTCGATTTTTGAGGGCCACCTAAATAGTGTTTAATAAGTATGAAAACGGTTTTCTATTGTTCTCATTGTTTATAAAAATTGATCTGTTTCCTTACTTACTGAACCTCTGTATACATAAGATGTCTTACCAGATCTGCCTTTTTTATAAATATTCAAAGAGTCCTGTCTGTCTGGCAAAATTAATTATCTCTTTGGATTTTAGGTTTTTTTGCATCTTCTTTTTCATGAGAAGATTTTCCCAGGTGTCTATACCTCAATATGGCTAGGGTGTCACATTCACACATATTATGATATGAATCTTCCTCTTCTGTTTCATACTTCCTGCACAATAGTGATTCTGTCACCCCATTGTGTAAAGCAGATAACCGTGTTCTGTCAATAGTTCAATCAGAGTGGTTATTTGATGACTAGTTATGTTGTTAAGACCTTTCAGTATTAAACTGAGAGTCTTGATAAACATTTTTAATTGCATGAGTACCTCAAGGCAACTCCAAATTTTCCTGTGTTGTTCTCTACAACCAGTTTTTAGGTAATACATTTAGGGATTACATTTTGAGTTCTACAGTTAGTTCTGCTCCAATATAGACGTTTTCTTTTTTATAAAGTCTGTTTTTTCATTACTAGTCATTCCGCTGTGTGCTGATGTCCATGCATGTTTAATTTTATTGAACCTTGTTGGTGATTCTAAGGTCATTAATTTAATTACAAAATTTTACATTTTATTAGCTATGCATGTTACCATTTAAAAAAATAAAGTGATCACCCTTTTAAGATAAAGGGAAAAACATAAAAACTATTTTATGATAGATAAATGGAGATGCATATGTAACTAACAAAAATCATTAAAAAAATCAGATTAAATTGAGTAATGAGCATTAAAAGAATCACCTGTACAGTTTTTCTTTAAAGTAATCTTGGTATTATCAAGAGAATAAAATTTATTTCACCTAATCGTATTTCTACTGTAATTTATAATGATACAATAGAAAAAACCTCATATTAATAAAAAAAAAAAAAAAAAATGTTTTTAAAAACACTTGTAAAAAATATTTTAGAAATATAAATAGAACATATTTATGACAATTAATTAGATAAAATTTCCAAATTAAGTACACTACTGAATTCATTTTAGTAATACTTAAAAATTTAATATTACCCTAAAGTTATGAAAAATATAAATAATAAATTAAAAATCAATTACTACTATCTTCAGATTTGCCACATTTAACATTTATATATATATATATATATTTTAAGCAAATAAATTAATTAACAAGCTAAACAATTATTATTAACTCAAAAATTAAATTATTAGTCTCGCACTAAGTTAAAAGCACTGTTGTATAATACATTTAAAATAAACACATTTATATCTATATATTAAATTTATTATATCAACTAACCTGTGGTTGAACAACTTTGTTGGTAGAATTATTATTAGTTTCTATATGAGTTGAATTTATTAATTTGCTCTTTCCAATATCCTGATTTTTTTGCTTAACTATTTGTTCGGCAGTTTTTAACTCCTCTAGAGTAACACCTTGGGTGGATCTTCTAGTTTCTCTAACTCGTTTGGCATGTGCTTTACGTTGTGTTTCTGATTCATCATCTCTAACTGGAGGAACAAAAGACCTAAAACAGTTTTAAAACTTATATTTATAATAAATACTATTTTATCACTAAAAATTAATGTACAAACTGTTAAATACTTTAACTAAATTATTTAATACAACAATTCTAAAGCATATAAAAAAAAAAAAAATGAACATTATTCACAAAACATAAATTACTTCACATGATGTTAGACTAACAAAGTTAAGCAAATTAGTAGTTATATTTTCCAAAAAATACATTTATTTTAAACTTGTATAAGACATAGCTTTTGTGAGTTTAAATATTTCTATTATAAAATTAATATTTATTAAAATTAATATTTCTATTATATTTCTAATATAAAAATCTAATCCAAATAGAAACTCTTTATAAACTTTTAACAGATCTACATTAGATATATTTTATTTTAACTAAATTAGGTCCATAGACGGACATTCAAACATAATATTGGAGATACTAGTATTATTATAATTTCTAACTATAAAGTTAAAAAAATTGACCATTTTCTTTTTTAAGTTTACAACCTTAAAAAAATAAGAGATTGTGAAAATAAAGCGTGGGTGTTAAGTACCTCATCTCTGTATAGCGCTTTTAGTTACAAAAGGTACTTTATAAAAAAACATTATAATATTCTAACATTATAATATTATATCTCCAATAAAAATTTCTGAAATTTAGTTTTCAAATTTCTAAATTAAACTAAATTTATACTTTATTTTACAATTATATTATTTTAATATGTAAATAATACATTATAGGATGTCCACAAATATTTTAATATTTGTGATATGTTCTCTTAAGAGATGTGGATTTATCACTAAAGTGTACTGGAAAAAAAAGTGTGGTACAAGCAACTCGATGTGAATTTTAAGAAAAAATAAAACATGTCATTTATATTTAGAAATTCATGTCTACAGTTTTGTGCTGACGTTTCAAACTTGTTGCATAGTTCGAAACATCAGTAAATAATACAACAGTTCATGAAAGCTGTAACATATTCATATGTTATTTATATTCAAATCCACATAGAATATTTAAATACATCAATAAATTATAAATATTTTTATTTAATAAATAAGTTAAATTTTAATACAAATTGTTAATTTAATTTTTTTATATAAAAAAATCAAGTCATTTTTTATTATATCATTAGCAAAAAAACCAACAAAAATAATATATTTTTAAAAGTTTGTAAACACTTAGTAAAAACCTCCCAAATTTATTTAAAAAATATTTAAATATTTAATGCAAAATTCCAAATTATTTCAAAAATTAAATGTTATTATTATAAAGTTAAACAAACAAACACTTATATTGTTTCAAGAACAAACTTGAAAAAATTTTTAAAGATGTTTCCAGGAACTATTTTATGAGTTGTTTCTGCTTGTTTCTGTTGCATTTGTAGCCCACTGATAAAAGCTTTGACACCACTAATAATATTAAAAATATCATTCAACCATATTGAAAAAAACTAGTAATAAATAGCTTCACATAGTTGAGCAATGCTTTCATACTACATAATTTATTATTGAAATAAAAAATTAATTAATTAAATAACATTAAATTGATTAATTCTGTTGCTTTTAGTTACAAGGGATTAATTCTAGAGGAGAAATATACAATATTATAATTATATTAACTACATTTAAATATCCCAAAATATTTTATAAACCACTTTTTAACATAACTCCATACTTGGCTTAAGGGACATAAGTATAAATTATTTAAGCAGTGGTGTGTGGTTTCATCATACCTCTTTATTGTTTGTATTATTGTTTGTTTACTAATTGGAATTTTGAAAACAAGTGGGTTGAGCACCAAAAAAACCTTTTTATCTTCCCTCATACTAGTCCAGAGGCTTAAGTATAGATTTATAAAGTAATTTGTATACAAATTAACGCCCACTCAATTATTTCTGATTTAATTTAATTAAATGTAAAAAAAATATGCCATAGAGGAATTTGCATCTAACTTATCCATTACTTAGTCTAAATATCATATATGTTCCTATAACTTAACAATATTCTATAAATAGCAGTATACTAGGTATACTATCATTTATGACTTCAAATTATGTCATATAACTTGAAATCATAAAAATATTTTCTTATTAAGAAATTAGTAAATGATAATTTTTGAACTATTATTATGAAAAAAAATTTATATTTTTCTTCAAAAAATTATTTTAAAAAATAAACAGCTGAAAAATATAATCATATCATAAATTAATGAATATTAGTCTTTTAACTAATTAAGGAATGTAGTTGAGAACTAATTTTAAAAATATTGGGTTGTTTTTGTATAGTCATTCTTAAAACAAAAAATTATTCTTAAATTAACCATAAAATTTTTAAATTAACCAAATGCTAAACAATAGAATACCTGCGAATATTTTGTTGGGAACATGCAGGTTGAGAAGAATCACTTGATATATTTGGAACAGGTGATAAATTGGTTTGTTCGTCTCTGAAATTACTTTTATTGCGTCTATAAAAGAGAAAATAGTCAATTACTTTCATTTTATTATACTCACCATATATTTATAAATATATTTAAAGATAAGAGTAAAAAAAATATTAGTTTTTAATTGTTTTAAAATGCTAGGTATTAATAATTAATTTAGAAGTAAATAGAATATAATGCTCTGAATAATAGTTTAAAATTACTTATACTTTAATATTAAATAAATAAAAACCAATTCTGATGTTAAAAATTAAAAAAAAAAAATTAATTAAAAATAGCAAACCATTTTTATAGTTTAGAAACAAAAATCACTGATTTTTTTTAGGAAAATGAGGAATACAATAAATAATTTTCATAAACTAGCTATCAGTTGGTAAAAAGTAAATTATTAATTTAATTCAAATCTAATATGTATAAATGATCAAGTTTTTAATTAAATGATTGGTGTGTTAATTAATCCTACCTTGATTGAGGCTTTTCTTTCAATGAGGCTGTTCTCATTGGTGGTGATGTACTTGTTGTAGGAGAAGAATGTATAACTCCCCATAAATTACCTTTAATTTTAGCACGTAGCTCACAATAACGACGATAGAATCTAATTATAAACACAAAACATGAAGCGTGCAAACAAACAATAATGTTATTTTACTTTTCTTTCAAAATTAAAAAAAAATATTTTTCTATTAACTTAACAAAAAGCAATGGATTGAATTTATTCATTATTATAAAAGATTCATCACTTTTTTTTTTTTAATTTATCAATTTATAATAATAAACTGAAATTAATATCCTTAATGTAAAAACATTATATTTCATTACTATAATTATTTATAAACTAATTCTTATCATGAAAAAAATTAAGCATGCACAAACACAAAATTATGAACATTTACATTAATCTTAATTAATCAATACATAAATATTAAATAATTTAAAGAAACATTGAGAAAAAAGTTTCTGCACTACGAGTTACAAAATAGTAGATAAAATACTAACTTTTCATCAGATTCAAAGCTTTGTGTTCGACGTAAGACAATTTCTGGGGGTTTCAGTTCATTATTTTCCAATAAAGTAGAATATTTATTATCTTTTGTAGAGTTAGCTAAAAAAAAGTATACACAAATATCAATAATTATGCAACATTATTATTATTTGAACTTGACATACCATTATTTATTTCAGGTTTACATTGTTCAAGTGGAGTTAGTTCAATTTCAACTTTATTGCTTTTAGGTAAGTTATCTTGTAATTTGGTTTCATCTTCTTCTTCTTGGATGATTCGATTTTGAACTAATACAATTTCTTTATCTTTTTTCAATGTTTGTTTATCATTTCCTGAAAGCCTGCTGATTGAAGATCTATATTGATTTTGTGATATTTCCAAAATAGAAGCAGAACACATCAAAACATACAAACAAGCAAAGAACAACAAGCAATAAAATAAAACTTTGAAGATTAATCTATTATAATCTAATCAATGAAATCAGTCAAATAAAATTTTAGTGGATTTAAAACTGTACATCTGTTATACTTTATATTTATTATTTATTTATTTGTTTATATTTGTTGAGCTGATTATTATTTTTATAAAAGCTAAAAAAAATAAATAAAAAAATCTGTAATACCAATTCATAACAACCATTTGAAACAAAATTTATTGAATTACATATTGTTTTTTTGTTAAACATACTGACACACATGACATGTGTATTAATTATATATAATTTTCAGGAAAATTTATGAATGGAAAAAAAGACTTTATTTGAATCTATTAAATTAATATTATAGCATAGAATATAATAAACCTCAGAATAACTAATATTAAAAAAATAAAGAGGATAACTTTTTATATATTATAATTATTATAATATCTTTTTAAAAAAATGATTGAGTTTTGTAATGATGATTTCACTAAAAGAATTTCTTCAATAATTTTATTTTCAAGAATTTAATAAATTTTATTTATAAGTATAAAATTTAAGATTTCTCAATAAACTTAATACAATATGATTATTCTGAAAATTGATCAATTTAATGTGTTTAGCGTTGATAATGGTAACATTGTTTCCGAAATACGTATCTGCGACTTTTCATTAATTTTTTGTGACTTTGAGTTTAATATTTTTAATATTTTTTAGTTTTTTAAATTAATAATATTTTTAATATAGTTTTAATTTTACTTAATATTAAATTATTATCCATTACAATAAATTGAACACTAATGACAAAATAGCATAATTTATTTATTTAAAAATAGATTAAAATGAAAAATATATTTAAATAAAATTTAAGCAGTTCAACAAGAAATGAAAACATATACATAACACAAAAGCAAAATGTCCAGCCAAAAATTTTAACTAACCTCCTTTTTTGAGTATTTGACAATTTATTATTGATTAGATAATTTTTATCTGATACATCACTATTTTGAGAAGCTTGCTTCTTTTTTAATTCATCTAATAAATCTTTAATATCTTCATCACACACATCAAAAGCAGTTTGGCCCTGAAAAAAATACATAACATTATTGATTAAAAAAAATAATTATTTAAAAATCCCTATATTAAATTATTAAATTTTATGCAGGTTTGACTCAATTACATTATTATAGTATTTCACACAATAAGCATTCATATACAGGCCATGATAAATAAACAACTGTCATCAAATATAATAACTAATACTAGGTAATATAATTAAATACAAATATTAGAATGTTAGGAATAATATTAATTATAATTTATGTCTGAACTAGATTATTTGAAACGTAGCTTTTGAATGACTGAAAAGATATTGAATAAAACGGATCAATATTATACATAATTATAATTTTCATTATCCTTAATAGTCATGTATTAGTAGCATAATATGAATTTTGAGACTTTAAATAAAAGAGGTTTGTTGATTGAGTTTGAGAGAAGAAAACTTGGAAAGTTAGATGGTTTATATGCGTCATTAGTAGGTATACATTAATTAATTTATTTTACCACAAAGTTTTTCTTTTTCATATCACAGAAGTGTTCAACTAATATTTCACAAGCTTCTTTCTGACCCCAATATGCCGCAGCATGTAATGGTGTCCAACCATCATAGTCTTGACAGTTTATGTCAGCTCCAGCTTGAATCAAAAGCCTGAAACCCAGTTCATAATAAAATTAAGTAGTTGGAATGATGAAATATCTACAGTAATTATCAATAAAAATTCTTAAACAATTTCAGTAGATAAATAACAATAATAATAACCTTATTGTACAGAAATTTGGCAAATAATAAATCAGGGATTTAAATATATTTGCAGATATTAGTGGATGTTCATATTAAAACCATTAAATTAAAAAATATATATATTAATTTATACCAACTAATTAAATATCTTAGGTATTAATTAATTTGTTTAAAAGATATTTATGACAGAACATGATTTTTTTGAATATAATTATATTATTTCTAAAAAATTATTATTTTCTATAAATAAAATCAATAATTAACTAATTGATCAATTAGTTAGCTAATTTTATTGGAGTCGTTATTTATTAAAATGACTTATAGAATATTTGGTGGATTACACAGCTGGACTATTAATAATTTCTACAAAATTTAACTATTTTGTATTTACTCTATAACTTTAATGTATCCTTTAGCTGCAGCAACATGTATGGCCATTGCACCAGTAGTAGGATGAGGAGAATCTTTAAATTTTTTTGTGTTAATCCATTCACGAGCATCTCTTAGCATCAGTCTTTCTTCTTTATTTCTAGCATCGTCACAGTCAATACCTAAAAGAAAGTTAACAGTACATAAACATATTTTATCATTAACATATATTATAATAATAATAACATTTTGTTAAAAAATATATAACATTATTTACCTGCTTCTTTTAAATATTGTTGCAAAAGTTGTCTCATTTCATCAGATTCTGCTATGTCAATAGCAAGTTCTTGATCACAATTAATTGCAGATACATCTGCACCATGTTCTAACAAATACCTAATTAATTAAATTATAATTTATGATGTTATAATTGTATCCTTTTTAAATTAATTATATACTTAACATTTTATATCATTAAATTATTTTAAATTTAAATAAATATAAGACTTTAAATAATATAAGATTTATTAATATAAATACAAAATAATACTGGACTTAACTTTGAAATATTTTTGGGATAAGATAAAATAATTTAAAATCCATTGAAATAACTAATTATTACTTAAAATAAAACAATACACTATTAAACATGAGTACTATTATTGAAATATTTTAAAGAAAAAATTGTTATTTTTAATTGTTTTAAATATATAGAAAATAATCTTTATAAATGACAATATTTTAGTCAATTTTATAGAATTTCAAAAATTATTATTATATTAAATCTCTCCCCCAACATTGTCAGAAAATGATCTTTACATGTAACTGATAAGAAGAAACTCTGTGTAGAATAAAATTTATGTTACATTAACAGACAATGTGTAATTAACAAATACTACTCAACATCATTTTTTTAATATTACCAGAAAAGTAACTCATATTTAGTTAAGAAAAAATAAATTTATATATTATTTATAAAACATTCAATGCCTAAATTATAACATGAAAATTTGGAATAAAATGAAATTTGGAATGATTGTTTTATTTGAGGAATTAGTTTTCTGAAAATAGTTAACTAGAGATTTAACGCTCCTCCATAATTTGTAATAGTGGAATAATCAGGATTGGCTGGAGGAGACGACTAAACACTACTACAAATAATCACTACCAAAACTAAAGGGTTGGGTTACCAAAATCACGGAATCTTCATCATATCAATCATATCATATCAATAATCAATATATGTATTCTAATAAACCCCTTCTAACCACTTTTTAAAAAAAAAATTTTCCCTAAAAATACATTATTACTTTTGGACATAATGAATTAATCTATTCATATATTATAGATATTGAATTTAAATTGATAGTTTTGATTGAGTTGAGAAAACATTTTTTGCGATGTGCTCAAAATATAATCATGGTTTGATAATTTTTACGGTGTAGGTTCTTTAAAAATATAATATACCTTCTCTTGACTACACCACTAATTTGTAAAATATATATATATATATATATATATATATATTCAACTAGATAATATAAAATATATTATAATACAACCTATAGCCATTAAATATAAGGCTAATTCAATTTAAACTAAACAAAAAACGTTTTTGTATTCATAAACAAAAATAAATAAAATAGCATAATCTGAATGTTAATATAAACCATGAATAGACATAATTAATACTATTTGCTCAAGTATACTAAAAAGTCCAGTCAAATTATGTCTGAGCCAACTGGCAAGGTCTACAAAAAGCACAGAGAGCAATAGCAATAGCATCAAACCCATTTTTAAAACAGATTATAAAGAAATATCTAAAAATAGCAATGACTTATGGTCCACAAGTAGTAAAATTACAATTCGAGTATTGAAAAACTACAATACTACATTTTTTAAATAATTTAACAAAAATAAAAAATACCAGTAATTAATATAAGAACTGACTAAATCCTAATAAGTACTGAAAATATATAAATAAGTTTATCAAAGCACATATTTTTTTTAACATATATAGCCCATACAAAAATAATAATATAAATATTATACTGACTTAGCTATACTTAAAAATCCACAAGATGCTGTTGCATGTAATGGTGTCCAGCCTTCTTTATCACCTCTATTAACATCAGCACCATGTTCAACCAAAAACTCAACCATATCTAAATTATCATCAATACAAGCCTAAAAATAATATTGAAATAATTAATTTAAATACAGTATTTAAAAGCTACTCTAAAAAGTCCTGAAAGTCAAAGTTTTCTTGTTATTAGTATTTAATGAGTTGTATTAAAAAATTAACAGTCTTAATATTATACAATATGCATTCAAAATATTAATTTATATTGGTATTATTTCAGAGTATTGAAGTATTATAGGAAACAACAAAAATGGACAGTGTGCCCTCCACTTATTTAAACCACTTCAACCACTATATATTACAAATAATACCTTCTAGTTTTACTATATAGAAAAAAATAATATATTATCTTATTCTTTTATCAATTATTAGATAGAAATTTAAGAATAATTGTTTAATTATTATTAAATCAGAGATCAATTACTAATAAAATTTTATGGTTACATAAGTAAAAACTGCAATTCCATAATAACCCTCTACATTCATAAATTTCTCTTCTCATAGCAAACAAAATAAGCTTCAAAAATTGTTATTCTTCCTTTGCTCTTTTATGTAAATAAACTTTAAAAAAAAAATTATTAAAATATGTATGAACTTTATTTTTGTATATACTCTAATCATGGAACTCTTCATAAATCTAGTCTTGATTCTACTAAATATTTTGTGTTACTTTTTAAAAAATAATTTATGCATTCTTATATTGTGTTAAAAATATATTTTCTATTATTTGTTTTAAATAACAAAATTAATCATTTTTATTATGTTTAAAATTAAAAAAAAAAAACAATTTTTATAACTCTTTTTACAAAAAAAATTTAATGGGTCAATAACTATTTTAGAACTAGTACTTAATTAGTTATGAGCATTTTAATACATAGAATGGATATGTGATGAGGGTGGAGTATGTATTATAAACATACCCCACTATAAGTCAATATGTTATTAAACTATTAAAATTTTTGTAAAAAAAAGTTCTAAAGACAGCTATTTTGAAAATTTAAAAAAATGTAAATAAAAATACATTTTTTTTACTTTAAAAAACAAATAATAAAAAATATGATCTTAATGTATTCTATCAATGCATAAATAATTTTTTTTTTAATTAACTCAAAAAATTTAGTAGATCAAGTTACTAGATTTGTCAAAAAATCGTGGACTATCTTGTACATGTATGTATGTATATATGTGTAAATTAATTAAATAAAAATAACCTATATGATTAAAATATATTCAATATTTAATGGCTTCTAAAGTCAGTTGACATCACCAAATAGAGCAGAACTAAAAATCTAATTAAGTAGGTGTAGGTCATGTTGTAGCCATAAATGGAGAAAGTAACTTGAGATAATAGTTAATAACAAATTATATTCTACCTTTAATACTATAATAATAATAAAAAAGTTTTGATAATACACATGTATGATATGTATTTAATTAATTGTAAGGGTTGAAAATATTACTTTGCAACTTTAAAAAGTTTACAATTCAATGCACACACAATTAATTATTACATATTTCTCAATTCTTATTATATACTTTTACTTTAGTTAAATTTTAATTGTGACTGTAAAAAATGAATAAATAGTTAATTAAACTATTATAAATCACTAAAACTAGTGTGATAAATTAAAATATGAAGATATATAAAATCTAAGACATTGTTTATCCAGATTGTTAAATTAACATATCAATTATTTTATTATTAAAAAATAACAAACCCATACTTAGAAATCAGAAGTCAAAAGAAGAGTCATAACCATTTATAGTGAAAATTATTTCCATAATTGGTTTTATGGATACTTATGCTCCAAATAACATACACTTTTTAAAATTTACAACTAATATACTATGATTTATTAGTATTTAGAAATGTCTTGAGGTATATTGCAAGTCATGACAGTTCTATATTATTGTTTTTTAACACTAAGTTTAAATGGATAATCCTTAACAAACCTCTTGTTAAAAACAATCAACATTATTTGATATAAATCAAAACATGGAATTTTTTTTAAATATTATGTATTTAAAATGTAAGCAAAATAAATAAATGATGAAAATTTATTCATAAGTATCTAAAATATGATAATTATTTAAAAGTTATAATGAAAGTGAATAAATACTTATTAAATTAATAATTATAGAGTTACAGTTATCATTCATATGTTTAATTTTAACTATTGCCTAATTAAGAATCATTTAAATATAAACAGCAAACAAAAATAAATTAATAGTTCTTATTTACTAAAAGTATTCATATTATTTGAAAAAATTTTTATTTAAAAAATTAGTTTTTAAATGAATGACAATTTTAACCAATAATAAAATACCAGTTACATAATTAAAATTAACAATTTACACATAATGCATGTAGCATTGGAAGTTATGATAGTTTTCTTACAGATAATAATATATTATTATTAAAGTCCAAAAATTATTCAATTAAAAAATGATTAAAATTTAATTGATCCATTAATTGAATAACAAAATGAGCAAACATAAAATGATTAATACTTACTAAAAAAAAAATACATTAAAATGTTGTAAAATAACATCATTGAAAGTTATTAAAAACAAATCATAATCCAGATTTTATTTTACTAAGTGAATATAGTATGGAGACTATGTTTTACATAATTTTTTCCTTACGGGAAAGGAACCAATAACCTGAATAAGAATTATAGTAAGCTTTAATTTATCAAACCTTTATAATCAAGCTACGAACATTATTAACAAATCATTACAATATATATATATATATATATTTGTTTGACTCAAATATCTTATCAATTAAAATTAAAATTGATATTTGTTTAAAATCTCTTAATTAAAATGTTTAAAAATGATTAGACAACTTTATAATAGCTAACAAGCCATCTTAAATTTAAACCCTATTTTTTTATTTAAAACTTAATGAAAAGTAAAAAAATTTAATAAAAATTCATCTTACTTGATGCAAAGCAGTGAGGCCATCAGCATTAGCTGCATTAATATCTGCAGTCAAATATAATAAACTGTTTACTTCATTCTTGTCTCCAGATGCTACAGATGCTAAAAAAGCACAATCTATTGGAAATGACACAGCTTTTATATTCTTTCGAACAGGTGATTCCCGATTTGTATCCGACTCTTCCCAGCGTTTGAGTTGTTCAGCTCGTTTAAATAATGCTGACATTTTTTAATTAGTAGGTACTTCAATATTCTTTGAAGATTTTGAAAAATAAATTATTAAGTCTTTTAAGAAATAAGATTTAAAATATAATTAAATGATACACTGAGCGACTCCATATGAATACTCTATACATTTCACGCGTACAAATCTTATCCAATAAAAATTTGAACAGTGAAATTTTGTTTAATTTTATTTCATAGTTAATTATTATCTACTAGCTCATATTAAATTCCATTAAGTAAAAATTTAACATAATTACGAAAATCCCGTCAGCCAAAAACTGCAGCAGCAGCTACTTACTGTTGCTACTGCTAAACGACCGATATTATCAGTAAAAACACGAAATCCGTAAAATGAAAGAAGGTAACAACAGTGTTGACGAATCAAAAAATTAATTGTCCCGGTTATTCGCAGTTCAAAAAATGTGTTTTAATTTTGGCAATAAGTTCCACATGGATAATCTTTTTTGTGTGTCGGCTTAAAAATATTAGAATATATATGTATAATATTTTATGTTACCTATACATATTTAAATATATATAATACAGGTACTATTTTTAGGCTGAATTCCAAACAAGCTGTCAGTTGAAGCATTAACAATTTTGGCAAGTTGTCCACTATATCTATAGATTTTAATGAAAATGTTTATAATTCAGTTTTCTAAATATAACCGACCACCTCGTAAAAATATTTATAAAAAATTAGATATCTAGTAGATTACATAATCAGATTAAATTAATCCTTAATATGAAGAATTAACATTGAAATATATTTTAACTACGGGTAAAATGTAAAGTAGGAAATTTAACACAATAATCATGCCTATAAATTCGTTTTAATTTCTTATCCTTCTTAATTTAAAGATTTAAAAAATAATTACTTATACAATTTACATTATATACCAATACATAACAAATTTTTTAGTCTAAAACCCAGATTCGTATAGCCCTCTATATTAGTTTATGCGACTCTATTATGTGCGGATACAAGAAAAACCTATAAATCAAGCTCCTCCATCAATCAAAAACTAACAATTTAGAGTTATTTGAGTATCCAGTGACAATTCAATTTATGGTACTATACCATTATTAAGAGATAATGTATAATTACAAGCCCCATTAAATATTAAGGTCAGTTAACCCAAATTGGAGTTTCTCGATGATAATGTACAAACCTACATTTACAATTAAAATAGTAATCAATATGATGAAAACTATTAAAAACAAAATACTTAATAGACAATTAAATTCAAAATAATGTCTAGTTTGAAAATTTTGCTTATATTTAAACATAAGTGAAATATAATAAAGTTTCTTAAGGCAAATTTATTTTCCCCAGACCAAAATACATTTTTATACAACAATAAATACAGTTTTATTTATTAAATACCCCCTTCCCTAAGTCCTTTTTTTTTTTTTTTCACAATCCGGCATACTGTGGACCGCCCTGGAACTACCGCAAGGTATTGCTTCAGGGCGGCCCACGCCGTCTAAACCTTCCCCAAGTCCAATCTTTTGGAACCCAATGATTCATCAATTTACTAAATATCAGATATGTAATTTAATTTGTTGATATGCATGGAAACATTTTAAAACTTAAATCAAGAATTTTCCTTAGTTCTGAATAGTGAAATTAAAAGTTCACCACAATTTCATGATATTTTAAAACATATAATCAACAATTACACGGACGTTCTCAAAAATGTTATGGTAGTTAGAGGAGAATCCACATAATGAAAATAATTATGTCTTAAAGATACAATTATTTTTTTATTTGTAGGTGCTAATAAAAGTTTTTTATATAAACTCTAAAAGAATGCTCCTAAATGTAGCATATTAAAATAAATTAATTGTCAAACACTACAATGATTTTTAAAAATTGATTAATGTACAATTTATTTAAAATAAAATAAAAATTATAAAAAAAATGACTAAATTTTGATAATGAAAAAATTATTATCTTATTTAATTCATAAAAACATTTTCATTTTTGACCAACTTAAATATAATAATAATATGTTAACTATTATTGATCGTGTAATCAAAAACAACAAGAAATACTTCATATATCATATTATAAAATAAATTATTGGTTCAAGTAATCAAAATTATTATTTAATACTTTTGCTAAAAAACTGGTATGGAGGATCTCGGTTTTAAAGATACATCATCATCTAAAGTTAATAACACCATAAAAGATAAAAATAAACTAGCAGCTGATAAAAAATGCCATACATCATGATTATCATAGAAATCCATAAACGTACAAGGAGTATTAAATGTTCTTGATTCTGCAGCACTTAACTATAAAAAATTTAAAAAAATAATTGTTATAGTTTATATATGAAATTTTATTGTAACACTTACAGTCCATGAGCTAGATTTGTGCATATAAAAATACATCGAAGCAGACCAACAAATCATAGCAAGTAATATAAATAGCATGGGCCAAAATAATAATTTTTCATTAGATATTAATTTCATAACAATATAAAATGACAAATATAAAATCAAATTAACCATAAATAAAGTTAAAAGATAATTTCCAAAATTTCCAAAACGAAAAAACCAATGACTAATGGCTAATCCAAGGTTTATTAAATTACCTGAAAAAAATAAAGCACACAACTTAATGTTACATCAGATATAATAAGAAAAGATCGATCATACCAATACTTAATAAGACCATCCTGTTTGGATATTTGGGTTTAAATGGATTAGGTGCTGTCAATAAATGATTGAAAATTCTTTTAGGAGTCTTTTTATCTATTAAAAAATTAAAAATAACTGAATATATATAACTTTATTTATAATAGCATATTTAGTAGAACCAAATGAAGAGCCATAAATATAATATGGCATATCTTAAGAGTAATAGATATGGCTCGTTTTTTTTCCCTCTAAAAAATGTATTTTTATTACTAAAATCTGGTGAACTGAAATGTTTGGGGCACATATGTATTTACATATATAATTTACAGGACAGCAAATTTTATATACGCCACTGTAATTTTAATGGTTACAATTTTTATGTATTAATAACTTTTACAGTAAATAAATGTAAAACTATACCTAATTTCCATCTGCCCATGTAATATATTTGTGCTGACAACCAAAAACATAATATTAAATGCAAGCATGTAAATAAAATAAATTGTATAGGTCCTTCATACATAATACCAGCTAAACCGAGTATTATAACAATAGCCAAAACTCCAAAAACCATGTATGCGTTAGCATTGATATCTGGATGTCGAGTTTGATAAATTTTAATCATACTTAACATACATATGACATACATAAAACTAGTATCTAAAATTAAATGTGAAACAAAAATCAAAAACAAAGAAATAATAGAAGTAAATTTAAAATTAAAACGATATCTACCAAATTGAAAATTTGAATGATTAGGGCACACATGATAACATGCACTCATAATACCTTCCATAGCTAGAGCAGATCCCATGGCATAATACAAACCACAATGGTTTGGTATTCCCTGGTTCTGAAAAATTTAATAGTAATTTAATGACCTTTAATGACCTTTAATAAAAAAGTAAAAAAATTAATAAATTTAACATTTTACCAAATAATACCTAAAACAAGACTTTGTTTTTATTTTCAGAAAGAACTATTATAGTAATAATTACTATAATTTAATTAAATTATTTATTAAATCATAGCCTTATAATCATAATTTTTACTATAAATATACATTAATATAATGAAACTTATTAAATACATATTTAACTGTATGTAAATTACATATAATTTAAGTAACAATTTCTATTTGTTACTTAAAAATGTAACAAGTATATAATATAACACTATTTAAAATTACTCGTTTTAGTAAATTACTCACTTTATTTGGTACACATGAGTACTCTCGTTTGAAAGTTATTAAAATAAATAAAAGACCAAAAAATACATATCCAATATTTGAAAAAATATGATTAAAATCACTGAATTTCCAAGGACCTAAAATTAGGCTATGAGAACACAAAAAATTATAATAACACAAGTCTTGATTGCCATTTTGATTTAAAACCTAGAGAAAGAATTCAATTCAGTATCTATATTAAATATATATATTTTAGATATATCATGATTTTTAATTCCATATAAAATGTTTAATAAGTGTAAATCAACCATTCAATTTAAAATCAATTGTAAGAGTTACTTTTTAATCATTTTTTTTGTCAATAGAATAATTAAATAAATTTTTTATTATTAAAGTTAAAATAAACACATATTTTAGAAATATGTAATTCTACTAATAAAAACATTTCACAATTAAACTTATTGAACACTGCATAAATCTTCAACAATAAATTATATATACCTTTTGATAGGTAAAAACTAATTGAATCACAGGTAATGAATAAAAAACAGCAACTGTTATTAAATTCCATAAGTATAATCTAGACTTTGCTTGCAAAATCCTATAATCTTTTTTGGCTAGATCACTGACATACAGACAACTTTTTGTCCTGACATAAAAAATAAAAATTATCAATAGATTCTAATTATTTAAAAAAAACAATTACCTAATCAAATCTTTCCAAGATTCAGGAGATTTTAGAATATCAACATCAGTTTCATCTACCGATGAATCATAGCTTATACAATCTGGTTGCACTAATAATAAATTTAAATTAAATTAAAAAAATTATTGAAAAAAATAATAAAAGTATAGTTTAAAATCTAATTACTCTCAAGAATTTATTTAATTCACTATAATAAGAAAATAGTAATTCTTTTATTCATAAAAATTTATTTAGTTTTTGTATATTTATAATGTATATATATTTATTTCAACATTTATAAAAATTCATGTTTAATTAATAGACTGATTTTTTACAAACAATTTTAATTTTGAAGTTTAGTTATAATTATTTCATGAGGCCAACCACTAAAATAATGAAGATGGTTTAGTACCAATTTTTACACTTTAAATTAATATGATTTTTTTTACCAACTTTATACTAAGTGATTCTATTATCGCTAGCCAATCAATTTCTCTAAAAATAATAATATTTTAAAAAAAATTATTTTTGATATATTTTAGTTTCATATATATTTGGAATTATCAGTTAATAAAAACTTTTTTAATTCATATATTTTATAATTAATAAGGGTATCAACTTTATTTTTTTTTAATGGTGACATATTTTTAACTAGATTATTAAATAAAAAATAATTTAATTAAGAAAATGACTGATTGATAATAATTTTTGACCCATTATTTCAAAAGATTTTACCATTTTAAAATATAGACTGAAGGTGAAGCAGTTGTAATAATATTTATTATTAGACTTTTTTCGCCCATGCCTAGATATAAAAATGATAATAACATTCTTAGTACTGGTTCAAAAGTTGTTAACAACCAGTCATTTTCTTAATTAGATTACTCTTTATTGTATAAACTACTTATAAATATATGTTATCATTAAAAAAAATAAAGTTGAAATACTTATTAATTATTACAGGTGAATTAAAAGTTTTTATTAACTGATAAATCTAGATATATATGAAACTAAAATATACTATAGCTAATTTTCTAAACATAATTGTTATTTTAAGAGAATTTTAGTTGCTAACGTTAAAAAAAATCACTTAGTAGAATTTTTGAATTTAATGAACAATTAGTGAGATAAACCAGGGAACAGATTAGTTAGAGAAGGAATAAAATTGTTGCCAAAAATAATGTTTATTTCTTTATATTATTATATTATCTTTGAAGACTACTGGCAGAATGATATGGTAGGTGCAATCTAGTAGTTTATATGTCTAAGACTAATAATACCCTGTGACACATTCCCTTAAGTCCACAGTTAAATATAATTTCTCTCAAATATTAAATATTCCAACAAAAATGTATTAATTGAACAATTTCACTTAAATTCATTAATTTTTTAACAACAATTCAATTAATAGTTACCAATCACAGATGCCACATTTGAGCTAGTAGTAGGTTCTTCTAACACTGGATTTAATGATTTTAAATATCTAAAATAATATTAATTGGTACGAAATTAAAAATAAATTTTATATACTGAGCTAACTACTTAATGTACCTTTTACCATTGTAAAACCAAGTAGTGAAAATAAATATGAGAATAAATACACAAATAACTATTAAACAAGCTAAAATTTGGTTATTAAAGTTGACAGTAGTTTTAATGATAAAACTGACATGTTTAACTCTAAAACGATCTAATTGAGGGTCATAAGCATTAGAGTCTCCTTGGCTGCAAGCTGAATCATCACTGTGTACAACAAACACAATAAATAGACCATATGGATATTCATCTTTCTATAGTAATAAAATTGAAGGAATTTAAAACATAATCCACACATACAAATTTAAAACATAAATACATACTGAAACTATAATGCCTCCACTTTTACTAACAGTTTGTCTCAAACCATCATACCCAACAGTTTCTAATGAATCATAAACGGGACACTATAATTAAAATAAATATTTTTGACTATAACCATATACAGATTAATCTGTTTATATAATCCACTCAATTACTCGCAAAATAAATACAGGAAAAATAATTTATGATTTCTCTTAAGTACATAGTTATTTTTTAATTTATCAACTAATAATTACTTTTTAGAATCATCCCTTATAACCTAAAGGGGTGTCAACTTTAATTTTTAAACGGTAACATATATAGCTAATTAACTAATAAAATAGAAAATTATGCAATTAAGAAAATGACTGATCGATAACAACTTTTGGACCCGTACTTTGGATGTTATTCTTATAATTATACCTAAGCTGGACAAAGAGTACAGCTGGAAAATAATTTTAATCTTAAAAATAAGATAAAAATAACAGCACCTGTGCCTCACCTATAGTCAATATTTAAAATTTTTAATAACTTCTGAAATATTGAGCCATAAGTTCTTAAGACCAGTCATTTTCTTAATTATATTACCTATTTTATAAACTAGTCAAGTATGTATGTTACCATTTAAAAATATAAAGTTGATATCCCTTTATGTTATAAGGAATGACTAAAAAGTAATTATTAGCTGATTAATCAAAGATTATATGTAACTATAAAAAATCAAAAATAATTTTCCTGACATTACATTTATTTTGCGATTAATTGAGTGGTTTATGATAAACTATATATTTAATCTTGTATATTTATAGATCACTCTTGCAGTTTATTTTACAATATATTTTTAAAATAATTTAAAACTTTAATACCGTATAATTTTGTATTGAAAGTGTCATGCATTTATTATCTTCAGAAGTAACATGTAAAAGTACAATAGAAGAATTTTGTAAAAAGTTATAATAATAATAAATAGGTTCTGAAGGTGTAATATCAAATGAAACTTCTTGATTTAGTCTAAAATAAAATAAACGCAAAATGTATAATACAATAAAATAATAAAATTATAATATTGATACATACACAACATTAAAATTGTTTTGTTTTTGTAACTCTAAAATAAAAGTCATATTATTATGGCTATTTGTTGATAAACTAACAACTATTTTGCTTTCATTATTATGGGTATACATGGAAGGACATAATAAATGAGCTGCTCTATTATAACTAAAACAATACAAAAAACATTTTTGTATAATTATAAAATTTACATGCATTGTTAACCTTTCCAGGCTTATCATTTTTAGTTTAATGACTCAAAATTATTTTTTTTGATTAGGTGACCCTAGAATAGGCTAAAAAATTATTTTTTCAATTTAAAACATTTTTAAACTTTGGAAAAATTATTTTACTTAATTTAATGTTTATATCATTAGGCAAATTTTGATGTCAGAAGCCCTATGCTTACTATAAATTTTACTCACAAATTAAAAAATACTAATTATGAATATACATTAGTGTACTGACCCTCAAAGGGTTAATGCAATTAGTGTTAAGTTTAACTAAGATAATTTGATAAGACAAATACCAACCTAATAGTTTGAGATCTTTCAGTGTAAGGTAATTGCCATGACAAGACACCAGACCGATACCTGACAACTACTATAAGTGGATCAATTGGTTCATAATTCTCCTCTAAAAGTGTCACCATTACACGTGGGGGTTTAATAACAAAGTCCTTTAATTATAATGAGATATTAATAATATGAAAATAGAGTTAATTTTTCACCAATTTCAAATTACCTCAGTGTAATTAAACAAAAATAAATAAGATAAAGTCTCATTAATAACATAAGAATAAGGGGTTGAATAATTTCCATTATATACGATAGGTGTTAAATCTGACAGGTAAGAATTATAATTATTAACAAATTGTGTAGCACACCATGTAGATGGCACCAAGAATAAAGATAAATAATACAAAAGTTTATACATTCTAACACATCTTAAATTATATAATAAAATATATTGCATAAAATTATATTCGAAATAATAAAATATAATGTTAAATCATACAATATCATTGGATTATTTTCTTAATTAAATAAAAATAGTTGATAAAATGTAATTGCAAAGAAAATTAAAAAATACTTTCAACTCAGAATTTTCTTACAAAGCAATTTACGTGAGTTACCATATATTTTTCAAAATACATAGATAAGAAATATAATAATATTATGATAAGTATTTGATAAAAGATAACAATGCTTATATTATAAGACCGGCGCAATAACCAGACATGACCACTATTTTTAATAGTTCACTGTTTACATGAAAAAGTCTCGTAAGTGCAAAACACAATAATCTCAGATAATTTACATCATTGCATTATTTAGCTATCTTTTTCATGAATTACGGACATCCATTAGGATAAGCATAAAATGCTTATTTTAGAGAATTTTTCATGGAGTGAAATTTTAACAATTAGATACTAATTTTCTTGGAAATTTTTAATTTTGTAAAGAAACATTATTTGATTCAAAAAACTCAACAATAATATGATATGTAATCAAATAATTATTTTTTTCTTAATTTTCCGCGATAAAAACCTTAAATTCTAATTTTTATTAACGGAATTCTCTGTTTTTAGTTTAATAATCGATTAAAATTTTTTTTAGTTCCAATACGAAGATGAGAATATATTCATTTTATTATAATGTTTTTTAGCTTCGATGCGAAGCTGAGAAGGTATTAATTTTACTATGATGTGTTTTTTTTTTTTTTTTGGTGTCTGTTACCACTTTTTCTCAGCTCTCACCGAACCGATTTCTTTCAACGATACGTCTAAAGATCACAAATCGTATCTAGTCGAAGACATCGCCCTCAAAAATTAAAAAAATTTCCCTCGTTCCCCGTAAATGGAGGAAACCTCCAAAAAAATTAAAAATTTAAAAATCGCTAATTTTTGAAAGTGTTCAGGAAATACTGACATTTTTATATATATCTTAAATTAAAGCTAATGTAATATACTTTATTATGGAAAAAAAAAATTTCGGACTTTATTTTGTCTTCATGGTGAAAATAGCTACCGTATGCTATTTTAACACGCTTATATTAGTTTCACCTGTATGTATGTATGTAACTCTCCAAACGCCACGCGTTATAGCATATTCCGTTGTCTAGACTAGACTGTCATAACGCATTCACCCCACCCCACGCCTCGCTCAACAAACGCCGGCAATACTATACCTGTATAAATTTATTTTTGGTTATCGTACCCGTACACACGTGCGTGTCATCAATATTATATATATATATAAACAAATTTTTATTTTGACTGACCATTATCATCCACGTGCATACAGCTACGTATATATTCCTACCGCCGTTTATACCTCAGGTATAACGTTAGTCCGACCCGCCCGCCCACAAAACACCCACCTAGTGCATGATACGTTTACGTACTAAAGTCGCTATATATATATTCTAATTACTATTAAAAATATATATTAACACACTTTATTCTTATTTAGAGATATAGAACTCATTCATTCCGATTACAAAGGATGAATCCAGTATCGTCATTTTTCGTCACTACCTCCATGTTCCGGGAGTGAGTAATTTACGCGCCTGCTGCTTTCCTTGGATGTGGGAGCCGTTTTTCAGACTCCCTCACCGGAATCGAACCCTGATTTCCTGTTACCCGTTATCACCATGATATTGATAGTAACTACTATCATAACATGGAACTAAAAAGTAAAAAATAAATATAGTTTAAAAAAACTAAAAAAACACGCTTTTAAAGCACATCAAACTAAAAAGTTTAAAAAGTTTAAAGTAATTTTTAAAATAAGCTTAAAATAATTATGAATAAAAAATACTAGTATTATTATGATAAAAGCGTGGGTGCTTTGTGCCATATTTTTCGTATATTGAATGCCCGACACGCTTTTATCACAATAATACTAGTATTTTTTATTCATAATTATTTTAAGCTTATTTTAAAAATTATTTTAAACTTTTTAGTTCGATGTGCTTTAAAAGCGTGTTTTTTTAGTTTTTTTTAAACTTTATTTATTTGTGTTAAAATTTTACATTTTATATTTTACATTTTTAACTTTAAAATGTTATAACTTTTTGAAAAACGTATGGATCAATACAATTTTTTTATATGAAATAATATTTATATACCTCTTTCATTCGACATACTTTTTTTTTAAATCGGACCATTTCCCTTAATACAGGGGGGTTCAAAACATTAAAATGCATATAGAAAGTAGAATTTAATTTTTGAAAGTGTTCCGGAAATACTGACACTTTTATATATATCTTAAATTAAAGCTTATGTAATAAAACTTAATATTAAAAAAAAAACTATATTTTGTTTTCATGATGAAAATAGCTACCGTATTCAAAAATATGCTATTTTTGTGTTAAAAATCTTGGTTTTGTATTTTATTTTATTATAAGGGGATTACACTGATTTTCATAAATATTATATCAATCTAATTGACATAGTATAAAAAGTTAATCTATTTAAATTATTTTGTTTCTTTGAAGTCGGTAAAAATAATTTTAAAATTTGACTAGCTAAATTTCCATTTTTATTAAGTGACGAATGCGAGGTACAATTTCTGAGACGGTAACACTGTGGCACTGAATTTTTTCTTCATTCTTTTTGAGTTAGAAAAAAATGTTTAATTCATTTGATTTTTATTTCATTTAGATTCAATAACATCAATAAATATCATGGATACCATTACTCCTCTCGTGAGAAGAAATTCATATTAATATTGTTTTACTATGTGGTTTTTTTTGTAGCTATCATTTATTTTCTCAGCTTTCACTTGACCTACTTTTTTGACAAATTTTTTTTTTTTAAATTAAACACTATCTACAGATTTGCATTGAAACGTTTTTTATGATAGTGATTTTAATCACTGTCAGATATCATCTATACTGGATCCAACTATGCCACAACCCCACTGTACCGCCACCCCACTGTGCTGGGGTTTTTTTTTTATGTCTGCCTCCATTTTTTATATAATTACCTTAGGTATTTTCCTTTCATGTGGTATACATTTTTTGAAATCCTCACTATTTATCTGCCCGCAGGGGGAGATTCAAAATAGCAACTTATGCATAGAAATTAAACTTTTTTTAATTAATCTTTTGAAAATGTTTTGGAATTACTTTGATTATTAGATATATGTTAAATAAAAGTTTATTTTACGCAATATAAGTTTAAAAATAAATTTGACCCTACACCTTATCTTTTATTGGCCGAGTCCAAGTAGTTGGGATTAAGACTAGGAATAAAAATAAGACACCTTATCTTGTATGTGCAGATGACAACCGTAGTTAAAACTCATACTATTTCTGTATTAAAAATTTCGATTTTATATTTTATTTTTTAGCTTTATATTTCTATAATATTTCAAAAAATAAATGAATCAACGTAATTTTTTGTTATAAATACATTATATATGCCCCTTTCATCCAACATACTTTTCTTTTAATCGGACCATTTCCCGTTATACAGAAGGTTCAAAACTTGAAACATACAATCTTTTTATACAAAATACGAATATAAAACTTTTTCAACTTTACTTTTAAAAATATGCTTTAAAGCTTTAAACATATGATAAATTATACCTTATGTTACACACTAGACGTGAAAGAAAAAAAATGATTTTGGTGTAATAATCGCCGTTTTTTAATTTGTTATTTTTACAAAAATGTGTCATAACTTTTTTGTATTGATATACAAACAAAATATTTTAATAAAAATCATAGTAATCATTTCTATGAAACTCTTGGTGTTTAATTAGACGTTACAATTGAAATATTCATAACTGTATTCCGAATAGTTATACTCTATAATATACTAATATTCAGAAATATTGAGGCCTAGTTCCACCTTTTTTAGCAGCTAATGTGTAATTGAATGTCATTTTAACCTAGATTCTTTTAAATTTTTGATAAAAATAATGTAGATATAAAAAGAATTTGTTTAAAAAAAAATTTTAAAAGCTATTATTTTATTTCAATTTTTACACTCAATGAAAAATCTTATTGCGCTTATAGATTGTACAATAAAATCATTAATCAATATTTTTTAAATCTAAATTAGTGATTCATTTTTATTATTCCACATTTCTTTTAAAGTAGCACTAAAAACATCCCTCTTCAGTATGATAAGTCAGTAAATAATGACAACATTTTGAAGTCAGTTTTCTTTAAATTAAATACATATTATATTTATACTTGCTACCCTGGGATCAATGGTCGGAGTTCCCGAAGTATGAGTCATCGTCACCATTATGACCGCCCTGCATCGATTTGCGAGACTCGCGCACGCTTGCTGTTTCGGGAGCTTCTTTCTATTCAAACGTGGAGTCGGTGCAGTGCAACCCTCCACCACAGGTATGTACCGCTACGCCATTCATCCTCGTATTAAGTCAGTTGTTGGCTCCCGTCCGTGAAAATGTTTAAGTTGATGTACGAATATTTTAACAATAGATATAGTAAACTTGTTTTAGTGTGTAAAGTAAAAATAAACTTCAAGATTATTTCGATGAGACATCGTAATGTAAGTATAACAATATTATATTAAATATGACAACAAAAAAATACCGAAGATTCTACGAGACTGCTTTTGACTCTAATATTAGTAAATCTGATGAAGATTTTCTATCAGCTGAACAACATGATATAGCTGTAGCAAACAAGTTTATAGGTCAATTACAAATATCAGCCAGCACTTGTTCAATCAAAAATAAGTGTGACACGCACAAGTCTAAAAAACGACTTTTTGGATTTTTAAGAAAACGTATTAATGGACAGCAGAAGTACCGTAGTTCAGATAGCATGGTAACCAGTTGTAGCTTGAGTCTCGATTCCATTACAAGTGATTCTCTTAGTTCAAACAGTTCCGAATCGCCGTACTACAAACGATATCCTGAGCCTCATATCTTATCACCTATATCCGATAAATCTTCATTAGATGCTGCAGAAATTTTAGACAAAGACCTTCGGAAAAACGTTTTAGTTAAAACCAAACCTCCTCAATCATTGGGTTTACTTAAACTTAATAGGGACCATCAACATCATGGATCTGATAGTGGTATTTCTATGGGATCCAAACCAGGTGACAACAGCTACCAGGAATTATTAGACCTTCCCTTTGACATGCCTAAACTTAAACGAATACCACAAAATTTCGAAGTCTTCCATGTAGCTGATAAATCAGAACAATCAACTAGTACCGAAGCAGCCGCAGAACTTCCTTTTAACATGCCAAAACTAAGAAGAAAACAAATTATCCAAAATTCTGATACTACGTTATCCTTCGACATACCTGAATTAAGGAAAAAGCAGATGGAGAATTGTGCACGAGTTATATCTTTAAATTTTGAAATTGGTCAAAATCTATCTATTGATCAATGTTCAAACAAATTAAATAATTTTAATGAGGCTGATAATGAGAATTCAATAAAATCCAAAGAAGATAGTTTAAACAATTTTAAAACAAAAAATGAGCTTGAAAAGAAACCCGATAGGAGTAGTCTATTTTTAAACGTAAAATCTAGATGTAATCCAGTTGATAATAAGAACAACATAATGATCTCGAAACCTATTCACAATAGAAGTAAGTTATTTTTTATTACTAAAAATCTATTATAATACTACTACACTCGATTATTTGCTAAGTACATTATGTAGTAAGATTCTTGCTAAAAAATACAAGACAACAAATAATCGAAAATTTTTTATTATTATTTAAGTGAATTCTATGAAATGAAATTCAAAAAAAAATTTAAACGCTGATTCTGAATATGGATTCAGATTTTTCCATTTCATCCATTTTTTGAGATAATTACAAATTAGTAATTCAACAATTATACCATAAAAACTGAAAATAATATTTTTTAAAGTTTATTAGTATAATTTGATAATAATAAAAAAAGAGTTGTTCCAAAAATATGGTATATCTATAAGTTTAACCATTTTAATAGATATCTAATTTAAGTTTAATTGGCATTTTTTGAAATACCTGAACTTTACACTATTACTATTTTTGGGTTAATCTCATAAAAAAATGAAACCAATAAACAGATAATTTTATGAGGTATTCAAAAATTTATATTTTTTGTGTTTTACATATAAAAATAAAGAGTGAATCTATTCTCAATCTTTTACATATTCACAATTTTGCATATAATGTACTTAAATAATACGTTCATAGAGCGCGTGGGCACTCACTAAAAGATGCTTCTTTTATTATAATGTATCATTGTTTGAGCTAATTATTTTATAATTTTTGAGGAGTAATATTTTTAATAATTAAGTCTCATTAAAATAAAATTTTGGGCGTGGTAGGGCGCGGTGGTCACACTAGTTGTTGACAAAACTCTAATGTTAAGTCGCGCCTACCGCCGTAGGAGAACGGATGGGTGACCATGCATGCACTTCTACGTTGGCGAAAAAGCACCATGTTCCCAGTGCAGAAGGCAACGGGAAACCACTGCACTTTAATTTCCCCAGGATATACCAATGGTATTAACCAACCTAACGTTTGTAAAAAAAAAAAAAAATTAAATTAAAACAACCATCCTTAATATACCAATACCAATAGTATGACTTAATTTATATACAATTATAATATAACCACTCGACATTAAAGAATACATTGTCATAATACAAGAATTAAGTTTCTTAACTAAAGGAATGTTAAATATGTTAAACTTAAAAATAATTGTTCATAAATGTATAATTGTATGTTTTAGGCCAATCAAATAGACCTGCATTAAGCTTATTTGATATTAAACCATTGAACTTTGTTGACGATATTAATTTAAGTCTTCCACTAGATCAGCAACCGTAAGTATTATCGTGATGCTACATACATTTTTAGTATTATTGAAGTGACGTAAAAATATTTTTCGATATAGGTGGATAGACCCCCTAAATGATAGTGTGTTCAGAATAATTTGACAATTCAAAAATGCAATTAATTCTTAGCGCTAGTGATTTCATAAAGAAACTCCCACCTTAAAAAAAAAATTAAGTAAAAGATTTAAGTGTTAATTATAAATATTTTGAAACTTTTAATGTCAATCCCATAAATATATTAAAAAAAAGGAGCTGCTCTTTCTAAAAAATGTTATAGTTACTAATGGTTTAAGATAAATTACAATTTTAATTTCGTGACTGAAATGATAATAAACCAACGAAGGTTAAAATAATCGAATTAAGAAAGTTTATTTTCTCTTTTTTTTAATAAATACATACTTACAATTTTGATACACGTTTGCCATAGAGATAAAAAATTTATATTAATACTATAGAACTTTTATAATTTCCATGTTAATACCAAATTATTGAACATCAATTTCGTACTATTCTTTTTTTTTATTAATTGCCATAACAATTATATATTTTTGTATTATACTTATAAATTATAAAACTTGTAATCAGGATATAATTAAGGAAATAGGATTTGATTTGCTTTTGGAAAAGTCCAACAATTTCTTTTAAAAATTAAACACTATCTACAAAATTGCATTGAAGTGTTCTTTATGGCAGTAATTTTAATCACTATCAGATCATCAGATATCTTCTATACTTGCCCCAACTAAGCTGCGACCCTATTGTACTGGTTTTTATTTTTTTAATAATTTAAAAATTGTAAAATATAAAAAAGAAAAATCTTCCCTGTGCAATAGCTCATATATTTTTTATTTATCAGATATTATTTACTTTTTTGAACCATCCCTTATAACTTATAGGGTTGTCAATTATGGGAAATATAACCCATACATTTTAATATTTGTATATTGATTGAAAATACTTTGCCATTATATATTTTCAGCTGGTATCACGGACCTTTAAGTAGAATAGAATCTGAAAAAATTCTACAAAATCAAGAAGAAGGAAGTTACTTGGTTAGAGAAATTAAAGGATCATACGCTTTATCAATTAAGTAAGATTTTTATTAATTAATTAAAATTAAAATTAATTTATGCCATACATATGTTTTAGAATAAAATATGATATTTATTTAGAAATGAAATTAGGGTTAATAACCAAACGATCCTTTTTTAAATGAATTTAATAAAAATAAAAATTACCCTCTGATGAAGTAAAATATAAATTTTGCCTAATACTTAAAATATTCAATAACTGAAGGTCAACCTAATAGATTTTAAAACCTTTTATGTTCTTTTTTAATATTATAGTCTAAGTTTATTGTAAGAAAAAATAATATTTTTGGGTAAATCCATATCAAATCATCCAAAGTCGTTGCGCGACCACTTTATTTTTTTTTTGAAATTTTACACACAAGTTGTCTAGTATATAAAAAGAAAAAATTAAAAAAGTTTTACGAAAATTTATTTATGACTTATCAAAAGTTTTAAATTATGAAATACTTGTAATTCGTAAATTGATATTTGACCGCAACTTACGAAAAATTAACTTTCAAAATTACGTTTTTTTTTTTAAGTTTATGAAAAATCTTGGTTTTTTGAATACTGAAAACTTTCTGTATTTCCATTACTTAGTTTTTGTGTCTGTATAGGTATATATATATATAAATAAATTCCTCAATAATATATGAAAAGAATGAGAAAAAATATATTAAACAGTTGTGATTATCACTTAGAACATTTAATGTCTTGAAATATGGTTAAATTTGATATTTTAAAATATCTAATCAAATTTTTTTGTAGTGGTACAATACGGTTTATTTGTTTTGTGCCGGGTATTGTTTTCGCTAGTACAAATTAAGTTTCTAATAATTTTTTCTTTTCTTGTACTTCACTTGATGGAACAAAAAAAATTTTTATTCCTTTTATGTTTTCTTCACAATAATCATACATAGCTTTTGGAGTTAAAATATGATTTTTATTAACACATTGTAAACTATATATATTTGGTGACTAGCCTTTTTGTAGTACCACCTACACTATCACTAACATTTTTTCCGTGGCACGAAGCAAAAAAATTCCATTCAGGAATACCAAAATACCAAAATCTTCATCGTGAAAAGAAATATTAATAAAATTTTAATAAAACTTTAGCACTATCGCTAAAGTATACAATTTTTTTTACAAAAAGGGCATGTGCTGATTAAATCTTTAATAAAATATTTTTGAAACGAGTAAAATGTTTCTGTAATATGTTCTAAGTGATCACGTATAATACATAAACTCTTACATTTGATTTCATCATTAATTTTATAATAATGTAGTACTATAAAATATAAAATTGATTGCAAAATTATGAATGAGACCAACTAAATAAAGTACATCTATACTCAGCATACAAGTTAAACTTATTTATTTATAATTCTACCTTTATAGAGAGAAAATGGGTAAAATAGGTAACGATATAAAAGTCATAAACATAATAAAATTAATCGTTTATCTGAAGATAAATATAAAGATTTCTATTAGTGTATTTAATGATAAATGATAAAAAAAAATAATGAACGATTTCTAGATTATATTATGTATATACAAAAGTTGAAAAGAGACGTTATCGTAATTAAATTGCAGTACATTCAACAAATCATTATTCAAGTGTAATTAGGTATATTTTTCTCATTTAAAATNTAAAATATTTTGATCCACCAGAGAAAAATTAAAATTAAAAAGCTTAAATTTAATTTTTTTAGAAATTCGAGCATTTTTAAATATGTCCCAATAAAAATCAGTAAGAGTAAAATGTTTCAAAACACAATTAAATATTACTGTGAGTATACGTTAATATTTAGGAAAAAAAATTAATTAAAAAAAAATGTTTTTTCATAGTCAATTTGATCTTTGAAAATTACATTATTTCGTAAAAAAAAGCTCAATTTAGAAAACAAAATTTTCCAACTTAAAAATTAAAAAACGTGTTGGTAATTATGGGATATGTTAGAGTATCGCAAAAAAAAATCGATGAAAGTTTCAAGTCTTAAATATAAATACTGTTATCATAAGGATATTTTTACGAATTACAAGTATTTCATAATTTAAAACTTTTGATAAGTCATAAATAAATTTTCGTAAAACTTTTTTAATTTTTTCTTCTTATATACTAAACAACTTGTGTGTAAAATTTCAAAAAAAAATATAGTGGTCGCGCAACGACTTTGGATGATTTGATATGGATTTACCCTTTTTGCATTTGATTTTATAACACTTAAGGTATCATAGAAAAGGGTAATTTTGATGATGCAATTCTCATTTTAAATTTATGTTTCTTATCTATTCGGATGTGAACTAATTTGTCTTGTATTAATTAATTTAAAAATAAATATAATTTTTATAATTAAAAAACATAAAAAATTATTTAAGTTACCACAAATTTAAGGTATCAATAATCACTTGGTGACTTTGAACTAGTGGTCTTTTTATATATTTTTTGTCTTTTTATATATTTTTTGTCTTTTTACAATTTTATAAGATGTCGATTAAGGACGAACTAATATTAATACAATTATTTTATTATGTGACAGGTGCGCAAGAGGATATATTCATATAAGAATTACGTCTTCAGACGATAAAAACTATTTAGGCCAATCGGAAAAACCATTTCCTACAATACCTGATCTCATTAGACATTACACACTCAATAGACTCCCAGAAAAAGGAACAGAACATGTTGGGCTATTAAAGCCAATAGCGCCACAAATATTATAAAATGCTTCAACAATTAATACTTAAATTATGTAAATATTCAATTTCTTCATCCTCATAGAATAACCTCAAACTGTGATAATACGAAAACAATATTTATGTTGTGAAATGATACCATATCATTAATAAGTGCAATATTTTCAATAATTTAATTGTCAAAATAGAAAATAACGATTTACAAAATCTTAAAATAACGTTCTTTTTTTCATTAAAAAAATATGTACGATGATTATAAATGAAAAATACATTCTCAGCTTCGCATCGAAGTTAAATAACACAGTTCACTCCTATATCAACACCCTACCCCATCAAAAAGACAACGACTCAAAAAATATATATTTTGAGTTTTACTCTCTAAGTTATTCATTATTCAACAATTAAAGCTCAAAAATATAATAAAACGTGGCTAAGTGATTTCCAAAAGTCGACGTTTATAAAATTGAATTTTATATTCAATAATAATACCAAAAATTTGATTTTTTGAGTTTTTAACTGGAACGTCGATATATAATTGCCACAACTATCTGAACTATCTATCAATCTACAGATTGATATCTGTCAGTAATTAGCATAATATGTTGCAGTTTAAGATATTTACACGCTTATATTAGTTTCACCTGTATGATTGTATGTTTGTAATTCTCCACGCGCCACGTGTTATTATCCCATCGTCTATGGCCTTGAGACTAGACTGTCATAAAGCAGTTACCCCACCCCGCTCACCACTCACCGATAACACTATTTTCTTGTATAATTTTATTTTTGGTTTTCATACCCGTACACACGTGCGTGTCATCAATATTATATATATACATATATATAAACAAATTTGTATTGTTTATTATTCGATATAAACATTTAAAGATCCAAATTTTTTGAGTTAATATAGATGTATAATACATAAGGGATTACAAATACAGGTAGCTTATTGCTTTTTTATGACTATATTCGCAAGTATATAGTCTTTATTATCAATCGTAATAAGACACATTGTTGTGAGTTTATAAATACACTAACTGGCAATACAGAAATTATATCTATTGATTGTGATAATTGACAATAAACTCCGTGACTGTAACAGCGATGCCATAAAAAACTAAAGAGTAAAAAATAAATATAGTTTAAAAAAACTGAAAAACACGCATTTAAAGCATATCGAACAAAAAAGTTAAAAATAAGCTTAAAACAATAATGAACGAAAAATATTAGTATTATTGTGAAATAAAGCGTGGGTGCTTTTTGCCATATTTTTCGTATATTAAATGGCCGACGATTTTTTTTCACAATAATATTATTTTTCGTTCATTATTGTTTTAAGCTCATTTCAAAAATTATTTTTAACTTTTTAGTTCGATGTGCTTTAACAGTGTGTTTTTTTAACTATATTTATTTACATTATAACTATCTAAGACTCTTCGATTCTAATATATTATGCTCTCAGAACAGGCACGTAGACAAGGGTGGGCCTGGCCCCCCTTAGATTTAATGTGGCCCAGGGCCGGCCCCACCAAATTTTAAATTCAATTATTTTTACGAATTATCAAAAACGTGCTAGGCCTTACATACATTGAAATTATTATTAATTTGTGATTACTATTGAGTAATACAGTTATTATTATGGCTGTATTTTCATTTTTATAATCATAGAAAACGTTATTTGAAAAAGATAACGTTCTAGACGTAATAATAAGTAGAATAGCAATATATAGTAATGCAGAAAAATTTTTGTTTTAGGGGAGTCATCCCAAAACTATGATATCGGAAAAAAACACATTACCAAGTCAATTAATAAAAATTGAATTGTTTGTCGGTGTGTTCAAATTAACTTATATAAAATTCATAAATGTATACGATTCACAGGCCGTATATGAATTTTATTGTATATTTAAGTCATTCAAAATTGGGCAAAAAAATTATGAGCAAAAAAAATTGGTTCGTTTTTGATTTAACATCGACGAACCCAAAATCAAAATTATAAAATTTAAGCCGGGTATTTATATATTATTTATATAGAAACCAAAGATCAGAATTTTAATAAAATAACAATTCGTGTTTCAGTTCAGATTCTTTAAAAATTAAACTTTCTACTTAACATTACTTTTAAAGTTACCAGAACCGATATTAATTGATTCTTGTAAATTTAGGTTAATAAACACTAAACGGTTTTTTTAGCTTTCAATACAAAGTATTGTAAAAGATGGACAATTACCTTTAATTACTGTTATTAAAGAGCAGTTTTGTAGAAATGGTACAACACGTTTTGATGAGTTATGAAAATTGATCCCGAGACCGGTGGAGTACAAGGACTGACGACATTATGAAGTCGTCAATATGTCCCTATGTTTTGGAACAAAACCGGCTTAAAAAAAATAGTAATAATTATAACAATCAACTTAAGCCGGATTCCCACGACTAGTGTACTTGCCAAATATTCATCAAGTCGTCGGAACACCATACTTGTACAATTATTGGTCACTTGTCAGTTTCCCGCGGATTGTCGGTAAATGTAACACAAGTCAAAAGAATTAATGGCTTGACAAATTTTAGACTTGTAGTTTACAGATGCACATTTGTTTACTTGTCAAGTACTTAGCCAATATTTGATTTTAGGGTAGCTATCGGTAACATAATTTTTTCTTCCCCGCCCCACCTATATTTGTACAGTATAGCGGTGGTTTATAATTAAATTTGGTTTTTAATTAGTTAATTTAATTTGTGGATGGGTAAAACTATTTTATAGTATAAATGTTACATATAATAAATTGAATTTGTAAATATAATTTAATAGTTCAGGTTGATTATATAATGTATTAAATATATAACTTATTAATTTATGAAATATTAATTATTAAGTATATATTATTGGATGGTTAAATATTTTACTAAAATGTTTGTATTTGTAAAATTCTGCTTCATTTTTGCAAGTAAAAAATTATATACGGTGAAACGCTATTAGTTTTACTCGGTCGTGTTTTTTTTCTTTAATTTTTAGGAAAACTAGCCTTCTCAAATTCGCTCTAATTGCTATTGTTGTTGGGTACCAAAAATAAGATTAATACAGGTTAGTACTGAAAAATATTTTACACTAATAGAATTTTCTATTTTAAAAAGCTATATAAAAACTATAAATGTAAAAACAGTTTTATTTCAAACTTCGATGGCTATAATTGAATGAAAATGAATTAATCGGGCAATTTTAAACTAAAAGGTGTCAAAACTAAAAAAACTAGCAATACTGAAAAATATATTTCGAATCACTTACTAAAACGTCCAAACACTTCAGCTCTCAAAAAGCAAACGACGCAAGACTTAATATGTTAATTAATATTTTTCAGATCCACCCCCAATACAATTATTTGACATTTGATCCAGTTGTAGGAATAATATACTAGGCTTTTGTTTATTACTTGTACAAGTGTACAAGTACTGGTATATTTGTCAAGTATACCAGTCATGGGAACGCACCACTTGTTAATAATTGGACGATTTGGCAAGTATGCAATTATTGGTGTACTTGACAAGTACACCAGTCGTGGGAATCCGGCTTTAAAAAAAGAAAAAATTTATCTCCAGTAGTGGAGATAAAAAAATTTCAAATAACAAAATAATCCAGCACAATATGACATAGTTGAGACAATTATATGATAGCTATTTTTCTTTATCTTATGAAAAATATACAGAGGATGTCGTTAAATAAATCAGACATAAACAGAACTCGTACACACTGGTTTTCACATTTTTTTTTTTTATAAGTCTAATTCTACGAATTTGTAACAATATCTTTATCATTTTTGATAATGAGTTTTTCACGTCTATCACCGATAACATATCACCCATAAAATCTATTTATATTAGTTCTGCCTTAGAACTAATGTAAATTATTTCCAATGAATACTTGAAACTTTTAAATATACATAATTCATCAATCAGAAAATAATTTCGGATGAGAAGCTATTATCTTTTTTTGGTCTTCAAAAATTGTATATTTTGAATTGCTATTTTATATTTATTGCTATTGAATGAGTAAAAAAATTAAAAAGGTCATTACGACTAAAAATTCAAACATCGCTCATCAATTTTGATGGAAGGGTGTATAACCTTTTACTCCAAATTCCTGTTGAAGTCACTGTAAGCAATAATAGTTAATATTACAAATCGTGTTCTAAAATAGAATCATCATATTAAACTGTGCAGTTATCACAAAGTTACATAAAATATATTTGACAACACAAGACTTATTTAAAATAACTTGAGAAATCACTCATTTATACCACAATTGATAATTTTAAAATTCAGTATAACTAAAAATAATATAAAATAGCTATAGTTTGAAAATAATTGTTATGAAAACCCATCTAAGTTAGGACGCGATATAGTTGGCACAAGTATAGATATCTAATCTATCTTTTTCCTCGCCTTAATCCCAACTACTTTGGGTCGGTCATATAGATGATATCTAATAATGATTAAAATCACTATCTATAATATAAATATCTGTAATTGTTTAGCACACACTCTTCTGTTAAACTATCAAATATTAACCCTACGAAAACATGAAGTACAAGAAAATCATTTAATACTCTTACCACACTGTATATTTACATCCTCCTTTTGTCAATATAAATATTAATTTTTCATGTCACCTAAATTTTGTAACAACAATATTTAAAAGTCATCTCTTTAAACATCAGAATTAAAAATATGGCCGAAATTCATATCATTCATAATAATGAAAATATAATAAACCATATACACACCGCAGTTATAAACATCTATTTGTTTTGAAACGTTTAAATTTTTTCATTAATAACGTACGTTTAAAAGAATTTTAGTGTAGATCTGGATTTGTCAAAGGTCCCACAATATATTCAAAAAATTTTTTTTTAATTATTTTACTATTAATATATAATATTTTAATGACAAATTTAATTCTGTCATTTGTTAAACTACTAGCTTAAGTGTTTTTTTTTGTTCTAAAAATTTAATACTTTTAATTATCATGCAATATTAAAAATCACATCATAACATTTTATACTGCTCTCAATAAATATTTTCTGTTACATAATTCAGTCAACGGCATGTAATCTAAAACTTGCAAATATTTATAAACCTTCATTATAATAATATAACATATTATGTCCATCAATTAGTAAACTAATTAAGTCAAAATATTGAAATAAAGCTCATTATTTGACCTT